TTTACTGCCCAGACTTTACTGCTCGGACTTTTCGTTCAAACTTTACCTTTAGACTTTAGCCTTGTGAGTCTAAACTTGCTTGTGAGTCTGAACTCACTTCTGAGTCTGAACCCGCTTCTACGAGTCCGATGCAGATTCCGAGTCCGACGCCCGAGTGCGAACTCACTTTTGAGTCTGATTAAACCTCGAGTCCGAACCCGTTCCGAATCCGGAAATCGCTTACGAGTTTGAACCTGCTTTTGAGTCTGAATTCGCTTCTGATTCTGAACCCGCTTCTGCTTCTGAACTTCCTTCTGAGTCTGAACTTGCTTCTGATGACTCGAATTTTCTTCTGATGACCAATCCGATTTTGCTTCTGATGATCCGAACTTACCTCCAATGACCGAATTTGCTTCTGAACCCGAATTTACTTATGAGCTGAGTTTGCTTCTGAGTTTGAAATGTATTGCTTCATATTTAATTGCTCGGATGATGCATTTCATGGCTTTAAAGTACAAAACCGTGATGGCTCGGTATGGGACGGGCCAAAGCGGACTTTTGCATACAAATACTTGGTTGTCATGACTTGCATGAGAATAATATTAATTCCGTCGCCCATTTAGTGGTGTGTGACGATGCCCCGTGTGTCGGGATGCCCCGGGGAGTGTTTCAGGATGCCTCGGGAGTCGAGATGCCCCGTAGGTCGGGATGCCCCAGGTGTGTGCCGGGATGCCTCGGAATTGGGATGCCCCGTTGGTCGGGATGCCCCGGGAGTGTTCGGGAGGATAAAGTAATGAACCTAATCGCATGAGCATAAATGTTTTACATCATGCTTGCGTCTGAGTGAAAATATTATGATATGTTGCATTATTCAGATTTTGCGGCACATCCAGACGGAAAAGGTATAACTTGCATTCAAGTTCTATGCATATTGTTTGCTATGCATGCATATGTGTTTATGCCAGGTGAAGTGGTAAGCTGATTTTCCTAACTTAAAACTAGAGATTTCATTTACTGGGCTTCGGCTCATCCCATTATTTTTCAGACATGTAGGAATGGACAACTTGCTACCAATGCTTACTGGTTTTTCCCTAAATACTATGAATGCCAGTACGTTGATATCCTTGTCCCGAGGGCGGATATAGTTTGTACAAGATGTAGATCTACTATATGGGTTGATGCGGGATTTTGGTTGATATGAAGGCGACGACATCTACGACTCGTTGTAAAGTCTACTTTTGTGGTGGCCGTCTTTGGAGTAAATTGTAGTATGGAGATAGGCAACCTCGACCTATCTAGATGTTTGTTCTTTGTGATTTTATGATGTATTGTCTGGACTTGTAATTCTCACAAGTGTTGTTAATGAGAAGCAATAGTATTTTTGACAAAATTTGTTCAGACTTTGACTTCCGCTGGCCATTTTTTTAATAATATTAATTGGTACGTGTTGCGCGTGACATTCTAGGGCGTCACAGGTCGCCCACGTCAGATCCGGCGAGGGCCGCCCTCGCCTGTCATAGGCCAAGAAGAAGAATAAGAAGAAAAAGAAAAAAAAAATTCTTTTCCATTTCTGATTCTTGTTTCCAGAATCAAGAAGCAACTTTTTTTTTTTTATTCTGTTCCAAAACTGATTCAGGGAACAAATTTTTGTAAATTTGTGCTCGGGAACAAAAAATTTATTAAACAAATTTCTGTTCCAAAATTGATTTTTGAAACAAAATAATAGAATCAGTCGCTATTTGGCAAGTTGTCAAACGCAGCCTTAATGTGAGCTATACGCATGGTGTGCATTTTGAATATGAGTTTTTTAGGCGGCGAAAACTTTTTGATTTAAAAAAGAGCGGGGTATTTTTTTGTTTTCCACTCTTTTACAATTTTAGCGTTAGAAAAAATTTATTCTTAGAGAAAAGTGAAGAAATGTGGAGACAAAAATAGCTTTTCTTTGTCGATAGTCACTACCATAGCTACGCATTTTTTATCGTGAAGATAAAGGTATAGACAAAGACATTTCGATTTTCGAAACTTGCCCTCTTAAAAGAGTCATCTAAGGCTACGGGTCGTGATTACTTGCGGAGACTATGATATAAACTCGCCATATCAAAAAGGATTCTGAGCTACATATGCTTGCTAAACGTACTAATGATTTGAAATGCCTAATGCTTTTCACACGGGATTTGAAATGCCTACCTAAGGTTTTTTACTTAGAGCTTGAATGTCTAAAGTTTTTAACTAAGGTTTTGGAATGCCTAAGGTTTTCCACTTAAGGCTTGAATGTCTAAGGTATTTCACATCAAGCTTAAAATGACTAAAATTCCTTGTCTAGGATTTAGGACGCCTACGTTTACGAACCTATGACTTTAAAATGCCTAAGGTTCCATACTTAAGACTTGATATGCCTAAGATTACCCACCTAGAACTTCAAAATGCCTATGGTTCCATACCTAGGACTCGAGATACCTAAGGTTTCTCACTCATATCTTGAAATTTCTAAGATTTTTCACTTAGGGTTTGGAATACTTAGACTGCGTTTGGTTGTCCGGATTTCTAAATAGGATAGGACTGGATATGATAGGATAAGAAATCCTGGGATTTCTTCATATCATATCCACTGTTTGGTGGACTACGGATTTAAAGTCGGATAGGATAATTTTTTTTTTTGCTATTCACGGGTCCAGAGGAGTCGGTGAAGGAAAAAAAGCCGAGAAATTTTTTTGGTGAAAGCGCACAAGGTGTGGGGATGAAGATGACGGCGAGTGGAGCGTAGGGTTTCTGAAAAAATATGCATTAAAAATCCTATCCAGGTCTATCCCACCCCCCTCGGATTTTTTTATCCGGGCTATATCCGGTCTATATCCGACCTTGTCCTATCCTGGACCACCACCAAACACAGGATAGGATAAAACATATCCTATCCTGGCATTTATCCGGTCGACCAAACGCAGCCTTAAGGTTTTCACTTGGGTTTTGAAATGCCCAAGGTTTTTCACTTAGGTATGTAGGTTAAAAATACTCGGTGGTGGATGAGAGAGAGGTGTACAGATTAAAGAGTGACATTTGACTTAACTATATTGTTCCAAAGTAGATTTGATAATTTATCAAAATATTTAGTAAATCAGTATATAAACAAAGAAATTAATGTCCATTCTAAACATTGATAAATCTAAAAAATATTTCGCACCCACTAAAATGTTCCACGAAAGTTACCAACGATAGGAGAAACTCAACTTAGTAATTTTCTAACCTACCACTTATCCAATACGTAATCTCGAAGCATAACAAACTCCATTAACAACTAATGTGGCCATACATGTTTCATTACCACTCTAAATAGTCGACCCAATAGCAAATATTTACTAATTTAACCATAATGGAATCACTTTTCGAAAACTATGGACAAGGAGAATACAATTCAGACCTTCCTCTACTATAACGTTAATAATCCAACTTGAATTTCCACTCGTGACATTTGTCATCTTCATTTCCCACATATTATTAACTGATGTAAAAATTCTGGATGTCACATAGGACATTGACACCCAAGCCCCAATTCATGGAAGCCGAGCCACGAACCCCAGTGCCATGCCCAAGCCCACGATGGACCTAGGTTTAGGCATTGGGATCCCAAGCCTACCTTCGATGGATCCAAGCTCGAGCTTTGAGGACCGAAGTCTAAGCGTCAAAAACCTGGGCACAAGCACTAAAGACTCGGGCATCAGGGCATGGTTACGAGCGTTGTGGACCCGACCTTGATAGACCCATGCCCAGGCACCGGAGAACGAGGCAGGGGCTCTAAAAAGTTTCAAACTCAACCTCTATGGACCCCAGATACGGGCACTGAGGTCCCCGACCCAGTCTCTTTAGACCTAGGTCTGGCCTCGATGCACCCGGGCCTAGCCCCAATCTCTAGACCCAAGCGTAGAGTCTAGGATCTATGCTAATATCTAGTTGATTCCAAATTTTCGAAAGAGAAAATCATTTTTTTGAATTTAAGCATAGATTTTTCGTTAACTACAAAAAGATTTTTCCGTTGAATTTAAGCTAAAATATTTTTCATTTAAACGATTATATTTTATAAATAAATCATTCATTTTTTACGAACAAATGAGCCTAAAGAAAAGCATGAATCTATATCGAAGTGGAAAATATAAACATAGAATCTCATACCATCTAGGAGTGTACAAAATGGATCGCCCAAACCGGGAGCTGCCCGGACCGGACCGAACTGGCCGGCCGGTGCGGTTCCTGAGAGTGTTGATCTGGTTCACGTAGTCATGGCCATGGTTCGGAACCGGCGGTTCGGTTCGTGGCCACATATGAGCCGGCCGCGGTTCGGGCGGTTCCGATTAGGTCAGTGGTTCGATTCCGGTTCTGGTTAGGTTGTCTTTTTAATTTTAATTTTTAATTTATTTATTTATTTTTGCCTGTTGCCAAGGCTGCCTGAAGCCACGCAACGGCACGCAAGAGGCTGTAGACGTGCGAGGCCCTGCTGCAGTTTTCTGTTTTTTTTAAAAAAATTATTTATTTAAAAAATTTGGGCAGACCGTTGGCGGTTCCAAAATTGCTGGAGCCGGAATCGGGCCGTAGGCCACGGGCCAATTCTAGTTCGGCTGCTGGCACGTCACGGGCCGGGCCGGGTTTGCCGGCCGGGGTTTGCGGCAAACTAGCCCGTGGCCATGACTAGGTTCACGGACTCTAAAAGTGTAACCGGTATCCGGGCGGTCCGGCTTCTGGTTCTAGACTACATATATATATTTTTTATTTCTTCAAACAAATTTGTAATATATGAATTGAATCTTAAGTGAACTTCATTAAAAATATAGATTAATCCCTAAGTGATCGGTTTCATTGGACTGCAAAAGCGTCCAATCCGATTCACGGTCCTAGGATCAACCGGTCCGATTCTCGATTCCCAAAAATCAGGAACTATTTCGATTCCCAATTTTCGATTATACTTTGGGACTGGATCGGACTGGGAACCGATCACCCGTTATGCCACCCATAAAATATGGGTCGGATCGTTCTTGATGCTGGAAGCAGTGGTGTCTTTGGTGAGAGTCCCCGAAAGTACCCCAGAAACCGAACAGAGAGACTTATGAATGAATTATGAAACAATGATTCTTGCCGCTGCTCCCTGCTAAGCCCAGCAGCCCCGGCCAGATCCAAAGCCATTTTCTTTTCTTCTCCAATCTCCAAATGAGAGGAGCCATTGGAAGAAAGCTTCCTAACTCCTTCACCCCCTCCTCCTCCTCCTCCTCCTCCTCCCGACACTCCCTCATTCCCTTCTCCACCTCCTCCCCCTTCGGCGGCGGCGGCGGCGGCGGCGGAGGGAGAGGCCGTGGCCGCGGGAGTGGCGCCGACGGCGGCCCGTCGCCTTTCGACTCCGCTCCCGGCAGGCCCGCTTCTGGCGAGACGCCCGAGGCCGCGGAGCCCCCGCCGCCCCAGCCCCAGCCGCCTTCCTCTGGGCTCGGCCGCGGCCGGGGCAAGCCGCTCCCTTCGTCTCCGATCCTCCCCTCGTTCAACGCCTTCGTGTCGTCCATCGGCCGCGGCAGAGTCCCGTCGGCCTCGCCGCCCCCGCCGCCACCGGATTCGACCCGTCCCGGGAAGCCCATCTTCTTCCGGAAGGAAGACGGTCCTCCCCAGTGGGACCCCCCAAAACCTAGGTCGCCTTCTGAGTTTGCTGAGGCGGCGGGCGGCGGAAGTGGTGCCAGCGATCTCCCTTCCAGTATAAGGTCGGTTCTGCAGGGTGCCGGCCGCGGGAAGCCTGTGCCGAAGCCGGGCCCTCAATCCCCACCAGTGCAGGAAGAGAACCGGCACATCCGCGCACGGCCGCCCTCGCCCCCGTCCCCAAGGATGGGTCGGGAGGAGGCCGAGAGGAGGGCTTCAGGTGTCGCAATCATGTCATCCTCATGATTTGGCGATGACTAAACCTGTAGTCGTTAATTGTTTGCTAACTTGTGTTTTGGAAACTTCAGGCAGAGGAGACGGCGGTGGTCGCAGTGGAGGCAGAGGCGGCCGAGGCAGAGGGAGAGGGTTCCGGGGCGGCCGAGGCAGGGGCAGCTTCGGTGGAAGGGGATTTTTCAGGGACCGAGCAGAGAGAGGGCAGTTCCAGAAGGACTCCGACTCGGGCCACGGAGCTGGGCTTTATCTCGGGGACAATGCGGATGGAGAGAAGCTGGCCAATAGAATCGGCGCTGAGAACATGAACAAGCTGGTTGAGGCGTTCGAGGAAATGAGCGAGAGAGTGCTGCCTTCCCCAGCTCATGACATCTATTTGGATGCTTTCCATACCAATTTGTTGGTCTGTCACTTCTCTTTGCCCGATAGTTTCTTTGTTCTTAAATGCATTTTACAGAACACATATAACATTCCAGCTATATGTGCCCGTGGAAGTCAATTGTAATTGGAATGTTTGTGGCGGAAGTCTGCTACATGCGTTCACAAGAATTGCGAGCAACTCGTATGGACTGGAACTGAACTGGAACCGGTGTATCACTACTCATAACTCCTACCCTTTTGTTCTGGATTTCAGATTGAGTGTGAGCCAGAATACTTGATGGAAGAATTCGGTACAAACCCGGATATTGATGAGAAGCCGCCTATTCCTCTTAGAGATGCTCTTGAGAAGATGAAGCCATTCTTGATGTTATACGAGGGAATTCGGAGTCAAGAAGAGTGGGAGGTAATGGTGTTCTCCCTGTAATGGATATTTCTAAGTTGTATTGTGCATTATCGATGTTTGGATTTGCTGTTAGAGATGGGTTGTGCTGAGTTTTAGGAACTCAAGAGTTTCGAAGCTATTGGTTTTCAATATATGATCATAGACTATATGACAACTCTAAATAGGACGTGGACATAGGCTTGTGCTTTTGGTGATAAAGTTGGCTGTAAGATGCTTCAAGACAACAGATCTGCTTGGAACAAACCGGATAATGAATGTGGAGACTGAAGGTTGACTTGATACATTGTTTCAAACCCTGCATTATATTACCTACCTGCTGTCTGCATCCTTCTCTTCCTCATTGGTATCCGTTCACACAGCTCTCGATACTCTGAGAAAGGAAATGACTTATAAATTTATCGGCATCCTCAGTTTTTTTTTCTCTTGTTTGTAGGAAGTTATGAAGGAATTAATGGACCGAGTCCCATTGATGAAGGAGATCGTTGATTACTACAGTGGACCTGACAGGGTAACTGCCAAGAAACAGCAAGAAGAGTTAGAAAGAGTGGCCAAAACTCTTCCTCAGAGCGCTCCTGATTCTGTGAAACGGTTTACTGATCGTGCTGTTCGCTCTCTCCAGGTCAGGCTTTGCCATTGGTCATAATTCTATTTATGCCGCTGTACTGTGTTAATTACCATCTTGAATGCGTAGTCTTTTTCTCTTTTGTCAAGAATTTTGTGCTTGTTAGCCTTTTTATTCCAACAAAGCGAAATCATAGTGAATATTTCACAAAGTCCCCGAGCTTTGGGGGTTTTGCACATTTGTCCCTGAATTTTCGACCGTTGCATGTTACCCCCTAAACTTTCATTTTGTGTAGCGCTTAACCTCATCAATTTTTCTGCTTTTTCCAAGGGTAAAAATGTACTTTTCTTATGCTATGTGTGATGGTCTCACAAGATAGATTGAGTCGAGAATAAGAACAAAAGGAAATTAGATGAGAATAGAGTAGTTCATAGAGTAGAGTTGAGAAGAGAATTAGCTTGTCGCTATTTCATTCATCAGGTTGTGGAAAACAGATAGCCAAAGACAAGGACATAGGTTTGTCGAGCATTAGATCCCAAGTGTTATTTTTCTTCTGGAAGAGGTAACTTCTGGTATGTACAAAAAAAGCATATTTGCAGAAACTGAGTTAGGTGAAAATTCCATCGCAATGGAGATAGCAGCTAAAGAAACCATATATTGGATGAATTGAATGTGAATTTCTTGGGTTCTGTCTCCAGTCTTCATGTATGAGATGCTAGTTCTTCTACGATGTCAGATGTCTTTGGATTCCTTCGTACTTTCTTTATTTTTTTGACTTTGTTTAGATAGGATTGCGCTTTTAATTGATCTAGATTTTCTTTTTCCGGTTTTGCTGGTGCTCAAACCTTTAGACCCCTAGAACTAAGCCCCACTCCACCAATTACCACCAGGCTCACTGCCGTAATGTCTTGATTGTGATCCAATTGAAGTCTGCAAGTTCCTTACTAGTTTTTTACTTCAGATGTCTGAAAATCAATTTGACAAAGAAGATGATGTATATACATCAGATGGTGCACCTGCATGACGATAGACTCCTACAAAGGTCATTTTATGATCTTCAAAGCAGAAAGTGTTATGAGCTACATTCATAAAGGACATGTATCACGGCACCCTTGGCTTATGAGGAGATATGGAGGAATGCTTATTTAGTTTACAATGAATAGGCTTTAGCCAAAATACAGTGTTGTGCTGTACCTATATGACCTAGAAATGGATGAGCTCACTAGGCAGTGAATATTGTTCGATTTGTGCTTCTTTGGGATGATGTTGTCTTTGGATAAGACTGAAATTAAAATATAAACAAGAAGATTAAGTTGTGTTAGGATTTGTAATTACTAATTGCTTTACGCAAGGTGAAAGCCAAGAAACTAGATGCCAGCAGAGAAATAGGCAAGAATAAAGTAACTGTGAAAATTAAGGAGAAGATATTAGTATTTTAGCAATCTAGTATCTCAAGTTCATCTACAGATAGAGATGGAAGGTGATGGTTAACTTGGGTTGGTTATTAAGTTGAGGGACAGATAACGGAGTCGTGCCAGTAATTATGATTTTCTCATAAGACTGATTAAGTGTACCAAAATTTAAAAGGGACAGTATGATTACATCTTGCTTTCAGTTTCAGAGGACAAGTAAAATATTTAGGGTTTTCTCACTGAGCCGAAAATCTTATAAGTTCCAAGTTCTAAATGGAACCTACGGAACCTCACTTGATAAAGAGGGCTTCTTGGATCCTCCAATGTCTTTAACTCCAAAAGGCCCTATTGGAGACCAAGCGTACCAAAAAGGAGAGCACACCAGCCTGGCACTGCTGGATTCTTTTTGATCAAAGCGATAGTAAGAATATGAGGTGTGTGCTCCGAAGAATAATGAGATTGTGATTGGGAAAATTGGCTTCACCACATTTCAACGATGTCAGGGGAGTGTTTTGAGTTTTTTGGGCATGTAAACAATGAATGGCAGGAATTTCTGGTAAGGATGTGGCTGTCTGGTGGAGATCCAAATGAAAATAAGAAGAGCATACTTTGAAATGCTAATCCTGTCAAGATTTTCAGGAAGTCTAAGGACTTTATAATCTGAACTTTAAATGCATACCTTGAAATACCGTTCTTACAGATTATATGTTTCTTTAAGGTGTAAATTGGTGCTTATGAGGTGCAGTATCTTTAGCGCTGCCATATCTGTCCATCCAACACATTGTGCTACTCATATCGACAGTGCTCCTAAAACTGGCTAACTGGTCCTACCAAGAACCAAGCATTGGGCCGTTTCAGTTTTTTCACCATCTGAGCAGTCTCTTTGTTGAAAACGGTTCAGTCAGTTTTGAGTGCTATCTGTTCTAAATGGTGTTATAAGAGAAGGACTTAGATGATTATTCAATCCAAAACAAAGCTGAAATGTGGGCTTGGATCTGAATGTCTGACTAAGACTATTGTTTGGATCTTATGCATTTTACCAATTAATATTCTTTGGTTGGCAGCACGATTGTTGGGATCTAGAATGTAAATTAAATGCACATTTTTCCAAACACATGCATAACGTAACAGTGTGGAGTCACAGATGCACATATTTGACTGTGTGGTTCATGATTCTCGAAATAGAAGCTGTTTGCTGGTTTAGGTGAAAGGAAAGCACTGTTGAGTAGGGGAATAATTGAGGCAGTTCGTAGCTTGTATGGAGAGTTAGCATTTGGTTCCTTCTATGTTATTTTTATGTGTGGTCAACTGTCATTATGTGTATTATACGTTGGCAAGTCAAAAAAGTTCCGGTACACTGGAAACATTATTTGAATGTCCGTGCACACGCATTTCCACTTGAATGGTTTTAAAATGTCACGTGAAACGGTTCTGTTCTTCTGATGATCATCCGAAATGCAGAGTAATCCTGGGTGGGGATTCGACAAGAAATGCCAATTCATGGATAAGCTCGTGTGGGAGGCTTCTCAGCAGTACAAGTGACTCAAGAACACCGAGGCTTCTTCACTGCACTTGATTTCAGTCACTAAGTTGCATCAGTGCGAGTTCTTAGTCAAAGGATGGTTGACACATTAGCTCCAAAGTCAGGCTAAAAGCTCTATTTCAGGATCCACATAATGAGGATTTCTTTCGGAGTTGAATTCTTTTTCTCTCCTAGGTGGCATCATCTCCTTCACATACTCTTTAATGTTGGATTTCTTATATGGGTTAACTTTATTACACTTATTTTAAGTTGAGACCAAGGTTTAGAATAATAGCTGCAGTGTGGCCTCGGACAGGCATGAGGCACGGTGACTCTTCTTCTTTCCCTTCCGATTTATTTTGTTTGGGTAGCGTTGTATTACTTTCCTCATTTTGGAACACTATAAAATGATTACAACTGCTACTTTTGACAGCTTGTACTTCTCCGAATTAGTCCACCTCCCCTTTGGCTCTAGGATGCCATCTTTGCATGAACTTCTTCTGAGAATTGATCTCCTTGTGATTTCTGGAAACGAACTGTGTTTGTGACGAGGCGCGAAAAATCACACACGCGGTCCCATTTTGTATGGTTGTCGCTGTACTGAGTCTTTGACGGCAATTATGGACCGATAACATGGCCTTACCCCCGCCGCTAGTGCAGAGGCTCTTTCAGTGTGATGTGTTGAAGGATGAGATCGAAAGTAGACTCATATGCTTGGAGAAAGGAGTCGAGGTAATTACCAAAGATTCAAACGTTTCATGTGGGGATGTTTGGAAGACTGTCTTACTGGTAAATGTGCACTCGCGGGTGCCTAAGTTGATTGAACATCGGCAATGAAGCCGTCGACGTGTTCAGAGGAAGAAACGGGCTTTCACACGTACTGAGAAAATTGCAAATGGCCAGGTATTTCTGGCACGATACGACGATCTTGTCTGAGTGGAGAAGCTCATCGCGATAATTAGCGGGGATATAAAGAAGTGGATTTTCTCGGATGAACTTTACTAGCGTATGTTAATGTCGAAAGCCACGATGGACTCCTGCACTAGTTGGACATCTCTTTGTACCGTTGGAGATTCATCACGCGATACTCCGAAAGAACGCAAGATAACTCCACAGAGACCAGATGGATTGACACATCCTTATTCCTACTTCAGTCAATTTGGACAAAAGCTATAAATTGACTGAAAATTTCCGGTACAGTATGATTCAGAGAGGGAGAGCAACATATCATTTTACATGTCAATTTGTCCGAGTTCGTATCATTTGAACAAATGCCAATCTGCTTGAGTGTGCAGCGTTCAGATGATCACAGATAAGAAGACGGGCATATACAAAGGTCGCAAGACGAAAGAAATTCATGGACAGAAGAAAAGAATCTGAACAAATATGAAGATCAATTTCACTGAATTCTGTAGCATTCCCGAGTTACATTTCGTCCGCTGAAAACCTGCCCCCGCTGCAGAACAAAATTCTGATCATCGCCGAAAGAGAAAATGGCGGTCCGACTCTACAACTGTGTCGTTCCTTTCGACCACTAGAAAGGTTATGGTAATTCCATTTCGACATTAAATAACTCGATCGATGAAAAAGATAGAATCATAATCATAACTCTCAAGAAATATACCGAATGAAAGAATTTGAAATCCTGTGAGACTACTTCCGATTTCATCTTCGACTGCAACTAACTATAGAACTGTGTAGAAGGGAATAAAAAAATGACTGGATTTCATAGGTATTGAGCTTGTATTCTTTCCCTGTTCTCTTCCCACCACGTCTTCGCGCGAACTTCCCCGAACTGTTCACGGCTGCATAAGGAGTAAAGCATATCATTACCATCGAATAAGCGCAAATAAGAATATAATGAAGCTATGCTGTTTAGTTAATTCGATGGCGCTAACAGTCCGGGACATGAAACTAGTTAAGCTTCCAGTTAAAAAAAACAGCAATGGCCTGAATTTTTCTTACCTAAATCGTACTCGCCGCAGTTCCCTAGTTCCGTCGACAAGCTGCCTAATGGTAATGTACACGCCGGGCTCGTCTTCCTCAATCCACTCGGTCTCCACTTCACTGGCATTGCTGTAGGAAACCGATGCCTCGTCCCTCGATGAGGTTGTGGTGCGAGACGCCTCCATCTCACCCTTCCCACCACCTGCTGCCATCCCGTGAGCGCTGGACCCTGCGTTGTAGTGGCGACCACCTAGATCAGATGGCTCGGATGACGGGAAGTACCCTTTACTGCCGGCAGGCTTCTGGTGACTCCTTGGCATCCACTCTCGGGTCGCAGACGGAACCATCGGGCTTTCCATCGCAGATCCCATCCTCGAGTATGATGAATCTCTCTGAAACTGAGAAAATTGATCTCTTAGGACAAATATTTTCAATGTAGAAGCGAATTGGGTGGGACTCACACTCTTCTTCCAGCCTTATGCAATTGTAGATATGGAATGGAAAAGTTGACCAAACTAGAAATACCAGAAAAGATCGGTGTTCGCAGAATTTGTGCATTCGATAAATGGACAGCGTGCATTCTGATTATTCGAGTGTAGAGTAAAGTCCAGTACCTCGTCCTCAGATCGCGCCGGAGTGTTAAGAGCATGACGGTTGAATCTCTGGACGTTGTAGAGCTCCATGATCCGGTCGTAGTTCTCTGCCCACCATCGCTGAGCTTGCCACTTGTCGAACATGTCGCGACTAGAAAAATTTTGAAAATCCACGACAACGTTAATCTCCATTATCAGCAAAGAATACCAGTAGTTTTCCTAAAGCAAAAATCCAATCGAAGACGGTTTTCTGAGAAAATGTCCTAATTCTAACCCAAGCAAACCATCAACATCTGAAGCTTAAGCATTGCCCTGCACATCAATACCTGAAGCGGATTCGCTTTAGTTCATTGCCTCCATTAGGCAGAGACTCGAACGTTATGTGCACGCCGGGCTCGACCTGTGCCATCCACTCCTTGGACTCCTCTTCCTCCAACACCACGTCGGATTGCGCCGAGACGGATGCTTTCCCTGGGGTGCGGTCCCCGCCGAACCCCCCAGCAAATCTCGAGTCCATCCTCGAGGTTTGATGACGACCGGGGCCCGTGAAGTCCCAAGCCGGCGTCGAGCTGGAGCTCCCGCCTCCAATGAACGGATACGGGACGCCCTCCGAGACCGTATCGAAGTCCGGAAACGGCCGGTCGCCTTTCTTGTAGCTGGGAGAGCCCGTGCAGGGTTTGCACTGACGATAGGCGCCGGAGAACTTCAATGCCATATCCTTAATCTGCGGAACGCGGACCACATTAGAGGGGGACATACGCCGCGAAATTTAAATCATTCGATCCGACATGAACATGACCCTCAAATCTGTCTTTGATCTACTACTCATTTGACTGTCAAACAGTGACATGGAAGCGAATCCTGTTCTTGTTTCTTGTTGCGTTTCGAATTTAGTTTCACAAACGTGCCATGAACAAGAATTCTGATGTGGGTCACAGGAAAGAAAGCATAATGGGTGGAACCTCTTCCATCAAGACCCCACTTCGTTGTACAAAATCTGTCACCACTTTTGTCTCGCCAAAGTGCAGTCCATGCTTTGACCAACATGTTAGAATACACAATTACAATCCATATGATTCCTTATCATCCACCATGAATATAAATTTTCTTGAAAAGAATTAGTGGGTGAGTTGGATGGAACCATTACGAGATTCTGTTCCGGGAATTCAGGATTCGATTTGCCCCGCCCCTAAAAGAATCGAAGGGGGTCAGCATCGAATAAGAAAGTGGAGATTCTGCAAAAACCTAAGATTAGTGTGTCCTCCAATAGTGACGTCACTGACATACGCTTCTCGGGTCATCATGGGATCATGATGTTAGTACTGCAGATTTTGTTACTGTAGAACAAAGGTTGAGTTTTATTTTATTTTATTTTTTAAAATTTTTGTTTTTAATGCGAATCCCATCATTTTAATTTTGTTTTTACTCCAAATTAATGCAAAGTTTAGCTTACATGAAATCTGGCTCTTAGCTAAGCCATTTATACCCTGACTGCGGTTGCTATTTGCTAATTAATTGAGAGGGTGAACAGAAATTTTTGCAAATTAAACTAAGTCTACCCTTTCGATCTCCGGCACTTTTGCGACCATGGAAATCCATAAAGCGGTATTTCTAGACTAATGTGGTTCATACCCATGATTATATAAGTATATGGTCTAAAAATTTTACGCACTCGAATAAAAAAACACGTAAGAACAAAGATAATTTCTCCAAAAAAAAATTAAAGAGAAAAGGACTAAGAGGGCTAGCAAAATTCAAATTAAAGGGTCAATTGAAGTCAAAGGGGCTAGTTGGTACGTGACTATAGTACTAACTAAAATTATCAACCAGAAAAAAAGGGGAAAAAAAAAACTGTGGGGGCTCTGTCAAATTTTTGTTTTTGCTCGTTCTTTTTTTTCCCATTTTTTCCCAATCGGCCACGTGACAATAATGACACGTCAGCAGAACAAAAAAGGAATTGCACAGTGTACCACGCTCCTACAAGATCTACCCACGACCTAGAAATGCAAAAAAAATTAATTTCCACCAAACATTTGACATTTTGCACGTTTTTAAGGTAACAATAAAACACCAAAATAATGCCCCTAAGTCAGAACAGAAGTGTATATATTACAAGAAGGCATGCAAGGATGCCAAGCAGCGGGCCCCACATTCATCGGGCAAAAAACAAGAATCTCACCAAGTGTACCAAAAAAACGTGGCATAGTCACACTAATGAAATATATACTTATATTAGGTATCGACGACATTGGTATCAATGCGTAATGTGATACAAATGATTTTCCGTCGAACCATATTTTATGATGCGATCGCGAGAAAGGTAAATTATTGTTTTTACGGGGGATTAGAACACGGTCTATTTATATTATGAAAGAGGACAAAGAAGAAGAAGAAAGGGCAAGAACAAAGCATAAATCTTGCATTGAAGACAGAGGTAGGGAGAGAAGGAAGAAAGAAGAGAACCTGCGTGGTCAGGCTTTTGACGGCTTCTTTGGAATTCGGGGTGCCGCTGCCACGCGCCGCCGCACCTCCGCCCTCGTCGCCGTCGCCGTCCGCCATCTGCTTCGTGCAGGCTATGCACGTGAACATCTCCGCTCGCTTTCGCACAATCAATGGGGGCCTGCATGGTTGATTTTTTTTTTTTAATTTTATTTATTTAGCATTAGCTCTGCTTTTCTTTTATCCCTCCCCCCTCCGCTTAAAAAGAAGAGAGAGAGGGTTTCTGCTCTTTTTGCAGTTGGCCAAGATATGCGATCGGTGAAGAGATTTTAATGGGTGCCAAAAGCAGCAAAACACAGCAATTAGGGCGTACGAAATTTGGTCTTTTCGAGGAATTTGATGGTACTTTAAAGGGCAAAGGAAAAAAAATATGCAGCTGTTTGGCGTACGACAACGCCCTTCCGTGTTTCAAAGTGGAACATCGAAATTCTTGTCTTATGCGGGCTCTTTTTGACGAGACCGGTGCGAGAGCATTCTCATATATCAGATCGATGAAAGATCAAAAGCCAAACCCACCAAATTTGAACAAGAAAAAGCATATCATTTGTTCATTGGCTACCTAGCGCGCGAGACTGATCGAAATGGTCGCAGACGATTGAGGACTGGTTCAGAAAGGAAAGAGAAAAAAAAAAGGGGGTAATCTGAAAAGGGAAACCGATCAAACTGCGGAATTTATCGTATTTTCATGGCAAATCTCCCCCATTGAATTTAGCATGTTGCAGAGAGGCTGAACAAGAGGGGTGGGGGCAAAATGAGAATTTGAAAAAGAAGATGGGTGGATCAAAGGGGGGAACTGTGGAATTCAAAGGGTGGTGGTTGTGTTATCAAGGGGAACAGATGGGCAAATGGACAAAGTGTAAAGGGGGAGGGAACAAAAAGGAAAAGACTACTCGGGATCAGAGAAGGGGGACTACGAAAATGGGCTCTTTTTTAATAAGCGAAAAATTAGCTGGTCAATAATTGAATGAGAAAAGGCCAAAAGAAAACCACAAAAACAAAGCGAGTCATTAAGAGAGAGAGAGAGAGAGACAGAGAGGGGGTGCGTGCGTGCTTTTGTTTTAATTGAAGGGACACCCCAGTGAAAAAGAATCAAGCGCAGATAGAGAGAGACAGCGAGAGAGAGAGAGAGACTGTGTTAGCCAGGACTGGAGAGCCGAAGTTTCTGACATGCCAACGAAAGAATAGGAAAAGCAAGATTTTTGTTAATAAAGATTTGATTTTGATTCTTTTATCGAATCGACCCGTTTCTTTATTTTTTTTGCTCTTTCGCTTCCCCTCTTTCCACAAATGAACACAAATCTCAGCCCCCCCAAGAAATTGCAAAAGCGACAGATAGAGATAGAGAGAGAGAGAGAGAGAGGAGAGGGACATGAAAACAGAGGGATGAAGAGAAAGACAGAGAGAAGAGACGATAGAATCTCTTTTTCGTGTGGGGGGGGTTGTTTGATGATGGACCAGCGGAAAGCAATTTAGAGATTTAAAGAAATGGAAAAGGAGGAGGGAAAAAACATTTGGGGATGCAACAAAGAACTCAATGCGTGGGTTTGGCGTGTCGAGGACCGAAAGCAACCCATGAATACACAAGGAAGACACGGTGAGGGAAGGAAAATGTCCGAATCATTATTATTTGCAGGATGAAATGCATCAGACATAACGTGGGCAAAAGAAAAAACATGAGGAACGACCCAGTTCGATAATGTCTGGTTTAGGTGCTTTTTTTTTTAAAAATTTTGTAGATAGAAGAAAAGAAAGGGATTGCATCATTTACTATTCGAAAATGACTCACCGAAGCTAACAGCAACTGTTCCTGTCCTTTTCTCAGTCTCTCGCTTCTTTTTTCGTTTCTTCTTCTTCTTCTTCTTCGTCTTTTTTGCCTTTTCCTCTCTCTCGCTCGCTCGCTTCAATGCTCTTCTCTTCAATGGATCCAAATTTGGGAAGCTGAAAAACAGAACCGAAGCATGAGGGATGAAGTATATCAAGATCAGTGAACAAGCTCTCTCTCTCACCGCCCCCAAATAATTCACAGAAGCAAATTGCAAGAGAAGTAAAATCGTGGGAAACTCTCTTTCGAATCGGGGAAATGCGAAAATGAATACTGAAGCAGTAAATGGGTCCGAATCAAAATCGACGAAAGGACGCAAGAGAGCACATTATGCTAAACCCCTGTTTTTGGAGTGCCAAAACAGAGCAAGCGATTCTTTACCTTCAGCAGCACTCTTCAGAGCTCTTCTTCTTCGGTCCCTCTCAAATGAAAGATTCAAAAGCAACTCCAAAGTCCCAGTCGGATCAACGAAACGAAACCCCCGCCGAGACCACCACACACGCAGCACCGGGCAATCGAAAATCACCTTCGACGCTCTCGGTCTTCCACGAGCGCGCCCCCCAAGAAAACAGAGCAATCCAAAAACCACGAAGCGAAATAAGACAAAAATCCCAGAGCGAGATACGGGGACGTTTGTCTTTCGGATTTCGAATGAGATTGGAAAGGAAAGAAGTTTTCCTCGTTCTTCTTTTGTTTTCGGAAGCTCCGGATTTCTCGTGAGGAAGAGCCCTTAGAAAAACCAAAAAAGAAGAAGAAGAAGAAGAAGAAGAAGGAATTCTTGCACAGACTGAGAGAGTCTGAGAAGCAGAGATACAGAGAGAGAATGAGAACAAATCGGGGACGATTGAATTTATACAATGCAGGGGACGGGGACGCGACGGCGTCGCATCGGCCGCCGTTAAGTCCGACGGAAAAGCTCGCGCCGGTGGGGGGGAGTGCCGTGACGGAGTGGGGACGACGGCAGTTTTCGGTCTTGGACGAGGAGGACACGGCGGGTCCACATGTCTAGGCGATGTTCTGGTTGTTGAAACGGGGAGGGTTGGGGAGGGGTGGATCTCTTACGTGTGCGGGGAGTAGATGACGTGGCGATCTCCGGTTGGGCCCTGGGTGATCTGGCGGGGGGAATCGGACGGCCCTGATTGGGTTCCCGGAGTCTGGTGTTCCGTGGGTTTGACCTGACCAGGAACAATCCCATCCAGGGTCTGTTGTTTTTTTATCTGCTCTGGTGGGTGAAGCTTTTTAAAGGGGGAATGTTGCGATATGGTTGTAATTCTATACTTGGAAAAAAATTGGCATTAAATGCGTACTCGCATCAAAGTACATTTTGAAGAAATTTGAACCTAACTTTAATCAATATTTTAGGATTGCATTCAGGGACGGACGAGTCTATAATCCCTTTTTCCTAAAGGGATTATAGCTTAAAATTTTTAGTGTGAATTCATAAAATTTCAGCGGTTGAAACGAATATATTATTTATCTATGATTAAGGGGTTATCTAGAAACTCGTGAAGTATCCATGCAAACCCGATTAAGTTCAAGACTTCAATCATTGCAAGTGACCCTCGTTTGATTTGCATGTATTTAGTGAGATTTAAACACGCGACCCTTAATTTCTGAGCTATAAAATTCACGACGCCCTAATCAAATGCGTCAATCTTGAAGGGTCGATCAAACGTCTTATCCAAAAAACTATAAAACAAGTTGCTCCTCTAGTTTGCTTCTTGGCAATTTTGTTTGGATAGCTTTGTCAATTAGAAATATAGTGCGGAAGGAAACCAAACAAGGCCATCACTTCTCAAGATAGAAGCATGCTAGATCATTTCGAAACCGGGTGAACAATTCTTTGCACTGGGCTTGGCCTGGCTCAAGTCTAATCTGATTAGGTCGTGCATAATACTGAAAGGCCCTTGCTCGTGATCTTTTGGCCCATTAACCCAGAGCTTGTTCAGCATAATGTCCCGCCAGACTTATGATCGGATCTTTTGTCGCACTCCTACTTACGCAGAGGCTCATTGAAAACACGAATGATGCAAGCATTAATTGGGAAATACAATTCGAGAAAGCTATTTTGGGAACTTCTCGATTTCAATTCAAAGTGCACAGCTGGCATCTACATGCCATGGGTGGCAGAATATGGTGGCCTACCGATTTCAATTCGTTCTTGGCAGAGAAACACTCTGGCAGAATTAAGAAACATTACTTGTCTACCCACCTTTTTTAGCCATTACTGTCACATGATATATCTGTGGAATATCTATTCTTTTTTTTTTTCTTTTTGGCGAAATATCTCATGGATGGAGCTCTGCAGGTTGTTCCAGCTGCAGAATATATCTTGCTTTCTACGTGAAGCCCTAGACCAGAAGACTGCATGTATACAAGAGAATCGTTCTCTTTTGTGTTAGTTTACTTGTCATGCAATGCAAGGAAGGAACTTATAGCGTATCTCGAGGTTACCCTGGTAGCTTACTTAGTGAGATAATCTTTGATAACTCAAAACAAATCAAATAGGAAATAATGAGAAAGTGATTGTGTCGTGGCTAATGAGGAGAAAAATAACGTATAAGCTTCTTATTTTTTTTTCTTTTTTCGGCCTTTTTTCTTTGCCAAACTAGCATATAAATTTGAAAAGCTAACAAACGATCACGCCCAAAAGTAGGGATTGGGTTTTAGCTTATAATCACTCCCCTGAAGGGTTGAAATTTGGTTTGTAGCTTCCTCCTATCCTCATCAAAATTGACTTTGCTTGTGAAAATGGGTCTATCCAAACAGAACCCTAGATTGGTGTGGCGATGATCAACTTATAATTTAAGATATTTAAGTAAAAAGATGGCACGACTCCTGCCCCACATGAGTACGTAGCAATTAAGGAACTGAATTTTGCATGCATGTGGCATTGCGTGGTAAAGCTAACCCTAGCTAGCTAAGCTAAGCTACAAAACCTATCTTTTCTCCAGCCTAAATCGATGAAGACATGCAAATGACGGACCGTAATCTCTGTGTAACTTTTTAGCTGTCCTTTTGCTTGCTCTTTTGATTAGTGTTATTTTAACCTCCTTTTGCTTTTCTCCAAATTTTGGGGATAAAATCTTTGATCGGTTCTCTTCTCACATTTACAATCCTTTGTACCATCCAAGTCTCCGTTATCAACTTGTGTCGCGGACAAGCACGTGGGACATGGCTAAATCAGTCGTATGTTCAGTTCTATTTAGGGTAAAGTGGTCCTTGTGTCGTTCTTAGCTAAGCTTCACGAAAAGAATCCTTTTGTAGTTTCATGGGTGTCGAATCTCGATTTGTTTTTGGTCAGCAATATTAGCTGTGTTGAAGTTTCTATGCTTTTGACTCAAACAGTGGACATCTCTCTCTCTCTCTCTCTCTATGGTGGAGGCGGTGGCTCCCCTCGCTTCGCTCAACAACGGTCACCGAAACTTGGATCATGCCTAACGAAGGCCGGTGACTGCACCGGTGGATGGATGGAGGCCTATACCTATAGCCACCCTCCCAAATCTCTCTCTCTCCCAATAATCATGTCAGCGCTCATATAACGATCCATGTCAATATTTAATATGAATAAAAAAAAAAGGGATGTAATTGAACGTTCTAAAAGAGTTAGTGATACATATATTTCTTATTTTAATTTTACTTATTCATTGTAATTTAAGCTCGTCCTATTAATATCGCGTTTCGATCTCGTAGAAAAAAAAAAAAAAAAGCACAGTAGATCATGAAACCTTGCGCTTAATCTTCGCTGATTTCCTCCCAAATTCACTCATGTATCTCTGAACTCTCGCGTGATTAATTTTCTTTTTTCACGAAAAAGGGAAGCTTGCACTCTCTCTTCTTTTATGGTCATGAACACAGAAACTCCCTAGCAAATAGGAACACAGAAACTCTCCACGCCTGGCTAAGCACTGCTTTCTGTCCCCTCAAACATAAACTTCCATTACTTCAACTGACATTTATCATGTCTTGGTACGTACCAAAGTTCAAATGCAAAACTATCCTCAATGGAAGAGACACTTATACAGTACACTGAGTAGCCAAGGCCACGTTCCTCCCCAACTGGTCTCCTTTCAAAGTTCTTCTGTCATTTCTTTTCCTTATTTCTGATGTCAATTATGTCAAAAGTACATGCAATGGTCCAACACAGGGATAGGGAGAGCCAGAGAGAGAGATTATGAGGAATGGAGAAGGGTAAAAAAAAAACAGAAAAGTAGACACAAGTCTCTGAGAAAAAGGACCACGGTTCGTTTAAAGAGAGGAGCGAAATAACAAATATACCAATTTCGATCGATATCTAAGAATTTGTGCAATGCAAAATGGTCGGTAGACTGAATGGTCCAATCTGACTGCACGGGTGACCACCAACTATCCCGCAGGCGAGCGTGATGGAATCAACAAGACAAAACCGATCTGTCACAAATCCAAGTTGGATTTGTACCCCCAGATTCCCAAATCTCATCAATCAAAACATTAGTTCGCCACACACATAGAAGAATTATTTTTTTTTTTTTATTTTTTAGATTTTATAATTATTCTTGATTTTGAAAAGCTGTTACCCGATCCGGCCATTTTACTTTTAATGTATTGAGTTTAGAGTTATCAGTGAAACTAAATTCACAGGCATAAAAAGCAAACGTGATGTATGTATATAGAGGCTCAAGACACGTCAAAAGGGGAGGTCTAGACGACCACACATCCCGCGGATCCAGGCTTCCATACGATACCACTCATGCATATCAAAGCAATGTAGAACTAGTCCCTGTCCAAAGGTCTCATTTTCTTTTACAATTGCTAAATTAGGCACAAAAATCCAGTGTTGTCGGTGATGTTAAACTTACATGCTTGCGGGATGAGTTAATATGCTAAGTTGATTATAGTGTGAGATTTTGTAGAATTACCGCCAACTATTCTAAAAGCTTAAGCTGTTAGATAAAGACATGGTTTAATATTTAATTATTTTAATATTCTCCCTCATGCTTAGGCTGGTCTTTTTGCCTAGCACTAGGTGTGAACATATTTAAATGGGGAGACGATTGGAGCCTGGAAAGATTTGAACTCGAAACCTCCAGCTCTGATACCATATGAGATTTGGTGGGACTACAGTCAACTGTTCTAAAAGCTTAAACTATTAGATGAATGCATGATTTAATATTTAATTACTTTAACACATAGTTTGAAAAGCTGGTTAATGGTCCAACTCATTTCACATTGGTCAAACCCTTATAAGGAATACTTGTGTGAACCACCAGTGGTGACTCATTAATGATGGTTTGTACTTATAAATCACTTTGCAAAATATGGACTTTGAGGAGTCGCAGAGAGAATTGGATGATGTTATCCACCATTTGAAAATAGTTTATCAACTTTTAAATTTGGAAAAACACCATATCAAGAGTCAATCCTTCTTCAAAGAGATTAGACATTTCCAATGGTACCACGACTCTCATATCACCAAGTCCGCCGAATAAAAGAAAAACTCTTCAAAGTAGGAAAAACAAGTCCAATTCGCCCTTGATTTCAATAGCAAACGCACACTTGACATAGATATACTCGAATATGAACATATTTTCAATAGCGCGATCGATATTGTGAATAGGATGATGAAATTAGTAGGTACCCCATTCACATTACTCATCTAGTACATGTAACTTATCGTTATTGCACAAGTGTTGGGTAAACCAACATTGAATTCACTCTCTTTTTCGAGTCATGAAAAGTGTGAGATTTTATGAAACCACCGCCAACTATTCTAAAAGCTTAAACTGTTGGGTGAAGGCGTGATTTAATATTTAATTACTCTAATACTCCCCTTCACGCTTAATCTGGTCATTTTGCCTAATACTAAGGGTAGACATATTAATTAAGGAGGCAAATAGAGCCCGAAAAGATTTGAATTCGAAACTTTCAGCTCTAATATCATATGAAATTTTGTGAGATTACTGTTAACTATTTTAAAAGTTTAAATAAATATGTGATTAAATATTTAATTACTCTAATATAGAGCAAAACAAATTCCCGCGGTAATGATGGGTTGTATGAGCTTCATGTCCTTTGTTAACCCGCCTCTTTCACTTTTATCTACTATTCCAAGAAAACTCCATGCGCTTAATTTTTCTTTTCTCTCCCCTTTTCTTCTCCCACTGGCGTGAGGCTCTCGCCAGGCTAAGAAAGAGAGGTCGGCTGGGTGGTGCAACCCCGAGACAGTGGGTGCGGTACCGGTCAGAGAGCTCAGAGATAACATTAGTACGGTAACCAGACAGATTAGCCCCTTACTACCGGCTACGACCGGTGACTAAACGAGGGGTCTGCCTTGGGCAGTGTGGAGTTTCTCAGAGAGATGTTGTAGGTCGTTGTGGGTTGTCAGTGACCAAGCGAGCCAAATTGGCTTTGGCCAAAGATAGTGTGGGCAAAGCCCTTCCCCTTCATTGTGTGCTTCTGTGTTGCTTTTGGTAACTTTAAACCACGCACACACCGCTTGCTTTATTCCTGGGGCTAACCTGTCTTTAAGCAAAGAATGGTTGGGCAAAACAATTCAAGTCCCCCCTTCCCCCCTCTCTCTATCTCTCTAGAATTGCCACGTGTGAGGAGGATGAGGAAGCAAAGCTTTTGCAAAAGAGGGTTTTGTCATATAAGATCTTCCCAACCAAGAAAAGCACAGTCAAGGTCCAAAGCAATTCCCAACCCCCCACTCTCTTCTCTGATTTCTGGTTCTTTCTTTTTGTTTTTTCTTGGGTTGCCCCTCTTTTGGCTGATAGATGATGTATGGGAATAATACCCAATAATTCAAACACAAAACTTCTTTTTCCTGCATTTGTAACGCCTCTTTAGGCAATGTGGTAAAGAGCAAAAGAACCATTTCCGAAAGTGCTCTTTTGTCATAATTTATGACACATTATGAGCTGTAAGAGATGCAGTGCCATAATGCTGTCTTTGGGTTAATTTCTTTCTGTTTTATTCTTCCCCCTTTTCTGGCTCGTTGGGAGAAAAAAAGGGTCATTTATAAGTGCATCAAGATTACGATTTGGAAATATCCAGGACCTATATTGTCTAGAGCAGTTGTTTGTTATCTAAGGGACGGGTTAATTCCAAAAAAAAGCACCAACTTTAGGTCGAGAGACAATTCTGGCCCGAACTTTTTTTTGTTCCATAAAAAAACACCAACTTTAGGTCGAGGGACAATTTTGACCTGAACTTTTTTTTTGTCCCATAAAAAAGCACCAACTTTAGGTCGAGGGACAATTCTGGCCCGAACTTTTTTTTGTCTCGTAAAAAAGCACAAACTTTCATTTAAATCCCAAATTTGGCCCCCATTAACTTTCTGTCTGAAGTTACCCTTGTTTGAGAAAAAAAGTTATGGTGGTGAGCCTGGCGAATCTCTTCCACGGCGTCTGTCAACGGACAGTGGTCTATAGCTTCAGATTACGACAAAACGATGAAGTTTGGCCAGAAAGATTCAATCTGAAGATATTTTTGACTTATCGGTGAAGTGAAGGAGACGAACAGTTTCACCGTTATTCTTCAAGCTGTGGTTCAGAGAATAAGACAATGAATAATGCTTTAAATCCAGTCAGCAAGTCACGTGGATTTATTGCTAAGGTGGAATAGTCAAGTTGGAAAATCAATGGTTTTAAGTCAATAAGGGCCAGATTTGGGATTTAAGTGAAAGTTGGTGCTTTTTTACGAGACAAAAAAAAGTTCGGGCCAAAATTGTCTCTCAATCTAAAGTTGGTGCTTTTTTACGGGACAAAAAAAAGTTCGGACCATAATTATCTCTCGACCTAAAATTGATGTTTTTTTATGAAATAAAAAAAAGTTCGAGCTAAAATTGTCCCTCGACCTAAAATTGATGCTTTTTTTTTAGAATTAACCGTCTAAGGGAGAACAAATCATGATTGCATCTCAGCATCTAAGGGGATAGTTTGGCACCTAATGGCTTGACAAAGCTTTTAACCTATCGAAATACTTGGTTTTGGTTGTTTGTCAATCAAAGTCCCGAAGAAAATGACAAAAGTTGTTGTGGAGGGATGTTAGTTTTTGTCTGTAGGGGGGCCACAAGTCCAAGTTAGAGAAACTACACAGTACACACACTCACACACTCTCTCTCTGTCTAAAATTTGGATTGGGGTTGGTCAAGAAGCATGAAAGAGAAGGGGTTTGGATTAGACTTGTTTAAACGTTGGGAATGTTCTGTTTTGTCATAAATAATGACTGGTAACTTTAAAAAAGTGAATAAAAAGTCATTCAGCAATCAACCCTCTCCAAAGGTTGGCCCCAGGGAAAAAAAGAAGAAAGAAAGAAAGAAAATGAATCCTCCTCAAAGGAAAGGAGATCTAATCTCAATCCCCAAGTCCTTCCAACCTTTCCCCATTTCCAATGTTGGATTGTCCTTTTTTCATTACGCTTGCTTCTTTTGATTTCTTGTTCCGGATTTTGTTTCGAGGGGGATAAAAAAAAAACCAGACACCCCGTGCTTACCCATGTTAAAAGAAGAGACCAGGTGTATTCTTGCATGCAATCCAAGCTTTTTCCCCAACACAGCCGTACCACATCTTTATATGTTCGGATGGAATGAAGCTCCTATATATAAATACATCAGACTCAAACAGTGTATTCTTCTCCTTGTTGTTATTCAAATTAAAGGGCTTTTTGTCAACATCTGATTCGTGCGAGGGTACTTTAACGCCTTACCTAAGTGGATCCCTGTCGGCCTTAGCATAAGCAAAGATAAATACAAATTGAAAAGGATGGCAATGATCACAGACCATGAATTTTAAATCTTTTCTCTTTTTTCTTTTTTAACGAGTACCTCGTAACTCATAAGTTTAGCAACTAACAACGGCAAAAACATCTTTTGTCCATAAGCAACAGGAAGTAGGGAAAACAAAAGGGAAGTCAAACTCAAAACCTCAAAACTTTGTCTGCCAAATTCTGAACATCTCTTTTCTGGATCGATCAAATGTTCACAGGCACTGTGAAATATAGATTCCAGGGCCAGGAGGATCTAGGGAAGAATATGCGCGTTTTGATTTCACTTAAACGTTGATCAATTAGCCCAAGTTTGGCCCATTGGGCTCATGCTTGGGCCAGGCCCAGGCCAACCGGAAAGCTACTTATGTATAGAGGACTATCCTTTCTTCTTCATCAATGAATGTCCAAAATGTCTTCATACGCAATTAGGAAAACCTAAACTAGATCTCAAAGGAAGCGACACGGGTAACAAATCATTTGGAAGTTGCATAAGCAATGCCTAGGTAATAATCTTCACCATAGTTAGTGTATTCAAGCAGGTCGTAAGCTCTTGTTTTTATCACTGTATGTATGTCAGACATAGAAACGGCAACTCAATTTCAGGGTTTATCGTACCAGTAATTGTAGCCCCAGCTTAAAACATGTGGTTGAGACCCTCGAGAGCGAATAATTACGAGCGATCTCTTCCAACATACGCACTTTCCTCGCCTCATGATCCCATTCGGACCATCACGTGGTAATGGTCAATCTCGCATCGACAACACACAATCCAAAGGGCATAATTATGATGTCTCCGTATACCCAACATAACAAACCTAAGAATTTCTTCGAATAATTATTATAAACTGCGTCGCGACAAGTAATAAGCAACCGCTACAAAGGTCAGGGACCACGTATCTGCATGTCTAAGAGAGAGGGTAAGGAAGCAGAAGTAGTAAAAGAAGTAGCAAGCATGCGACTTTCAGCAGCTTTTCATATAAGATGAAGCATTAATGCATCGCTTTTGATTCGCTACTCAGTTTCCAACTTAGTATCAACTCTGTGGAAAAGGGACAGTCGAAACCAAAAGATTTCGAAGAGAAGAACACAATGGGCCAAAACAAAAAATGTGAAAGAGACTGCAGACTGAGATAAGGATAGTTACTTTGTGACACTTTATATATTACACACAAAAAGAGGAGCAGAGCAAAAGACCTTGACTCCAGAAAACTAAACCCTAACTCCCTACTTTTTCCCAGACCTACCTCCCCAAAGAGACTGCCAAAACACAGGCCAATTCTTCTGGGCCTCGTTCCAGCCCAGGAGAGAGCCTTCCCTGAGAGGGTCCCAACTGGAGGACACAATGCCATAGCTCACACCCAGAAGAGCTGACCCAAAGAAGAAGAAGGACACGATGAAAGGCACCCAGGTGGGGACATCGATCTTGAGCCCCACCTTGAGGTAGTAGAAGAATGGGAAGAACAAGAGCCCGACAAAGAGCGGGCCGCCGACCGAGACCCCCATCCGGTTCATCATCCTGTTGGTCACTACTTCCGGTATTACGCCTTGGTCTCTCGCGTCCTCTTCTTCGTCATCTTCGTCGTCCTCGTCTTCCTCATCGCTGTCATATTCTCCGTTTGGTTTATTCTTTGTCTTTTTGGCTTTCTTCAGAGAGGGTCCAAAGCCCTTCGGGCTCCTCAAGGTCGCGTGTAATCGTGGGGCGGCATGGGAGCGATTTCCTCTTGAGGGCAGCTTTTCGAAGGAACCAGGGAATTGACATGTTTGTTTGTCCATCTTTAGTCGTCTGTCCCGGCGGTTGGTTATTAGGAGAGTGCAAGGTTTCTGAATCACATTGAATTGTTCATAGCAGCCATCACTCTGCAATAGCAGCACATTATGAGCTTATCGCTAAGCATTGCCGGATAGTGTAGAGTTTATCATAGACTCATAGTTAGTCGGTTACAATCAATCCAAACAGCAAGCATCCGGGACTTGAACCGTGTTTTTAGATTGAAAGATTTTATAGGGCCACTGCCAACTGTTCTAAAAACTTAAGCTTTTAGATAAAGACATGATTTAATATTTAATTACTCTAACACTCCCCCTCATACTTAGTCTGGTCTTTTGCCTAGGTACTAAGCGTGGACATGTTTGATTAGGGAGGCAAATGGGACCAGGAAAGATCTGAACTCATGACCTCCAGCTCTGATACCATAATAGATTTTATGGGACCACTACCAACTGTTCTAAAAGCTTAAATTTTTAGATAAAGGCGTGATTTAATATTTAATTATTCTAACATAGATTACCAAATTAGTATTCCATATCACAAGACTAGGGAATACTGACATAATTGAAAGACCATGGCAGAGTTCTAAGACAGAATGTGGAAGTTATTTTCATCGTCATGAACACTACTTTCACTCATATTTCGTATAATCAGTTTTCAGTCGAAAGTTTCACAACATGATGCACAGTCCCTGGGAATAAAATGTTAACAAACTGCGCCAATGTAGAGGAACTAAATCTCAATTTAATAATGGACATAATATAATGGATCGCAGGTGTCACGTAAGTGAATATTGGACGACTTGCACATGATGTATGAAAGTGTGTCTAATATGTTCCCACTGATTAGACGATTAAATACGATTATTTTCTTGTGTGATGGATCTATACAATCCACCTTAATTGACAATCTTCGGCGCACACGTGAAGTTTGTTGCTCAAGCAAATATATATCTTATGTCTCAAGCGAACACTTGACATATAAGATAATTATAAGAAATTGCTTTAAATCACAGTGTGCAAATTTCATTTTGAAATGAAGAAATCAGAAAAAGAAAAAGAAAAACGAAGTAAAATCTCCCCATAGACAATCATTGGCAGAGCAATAGCAATTACCCTTAGCTAGCAGTGCCAAACCAACCATGTTGGAGGATGATGATGGGTACATATAGGAAACCATAAAAAGCGACTGGTCTTGATTATTAAGAAAGCCAAGAAAGTCAGGCTCTACGAGAAGAGAGTGAGGGAGGGTGAGTTTGAGAACAGCGACCAAGAACACGACCCCAAATACGGAGACTTAAGACTATTTCTTTAGCTCCTTTCTTATCCAGATCACACCTGCAATACCTGAGTGCGGATTTTCGGGGCTAGTAGATAAAAGCTGTTTTGGTGTTTTCCTTTTTCTGTATTTTTATTTTCAAGAGTTTCTCTGAAAGTTGGAGAGAGAGAGAGAGAGAGAGAGAGAGAGAGAGAGAGAGAGAGAGAGAGAGAGGCTCTTGAGTACCTTCGCTGCCCAGCAAATTGAAGGAGAGGCCATTTGACGTGCTTCTCGGATTCTCTTCTGATGAGAATTCTTCACCGCTCGGCCGATTGCTCCATGTCAGAGAGAGAGAGAGAGAGAGAGAGGGTGAGAGGGAGAGGAAGAGCACGAGGAAGATAAGGTGAGAGATTTTCAGCTGCTTTCGACATGGGCTGGGAAGCTTCTCTGATCAATGATGGACTCAAACCCAATCTGGCCCAATCGACACTCATTTTTTGGCCCAAAAAGGAAATGGCAATATTGTGTTATAATATGATAAAGCAATCCTCTTTTTTCAAATATAAAGAATTGTTGTTGTTTCTTTTTCTCTTTGGACATCTTAAGGAAGCCATCTTCAATTTTCTAGGATTCCTAAGTTTCTCGGCCCAAGAAGCTAAAAAAATGTCATCTTAAGAGATAATTCCAAAGTTTTCACCGCCTTCCTTGTGCAGGATAACCAGATCTAAAGTTTTCACCGCCTTAATCGGGTTGGGTTTCCATTCATTCCTAGGATCACAGCTGAAATCAGCATCGAAGAGGCAACTTTCATGGATTCACAGTCTCCCCCTCCACCATTTGCCAACCTCATGATACGTCAAGCGTCAAGACCGTGCCTTGTTAATCTATATCCCATGAACAACCGGTACTGGTTTGGTTGCTCAACAATTTAGGACGGACGAGAAATCTCATTGGGGGAAGTTGGCTCTCAGTATTTGTATTTACCAAAATACCAGCCAAATCATCGCCCATTGACCAAAGAATAGGAGGGTTCCATTCCATTGCTGCAATTAGCTCGATGCGTCCTGTCCTGCATCGTCTCTAGAAGCAATGCAAAGAGATCGAGTTTCGCTTGTTATGACACGAGTGCACCGACAGAGATGCTAAACAAATTACTTTGTCAAATCAAGATATACGGGGCCCTATTTAAGAAGATTCAATAGGTGGATTGCAGGTGGGTCAAAAGCAGGTAGGAGCTCCAGTTTTGCTATGTATGCTAATGCTGTGTAGCAGAGTTGTCCAAAGCAATTCACTCAAGACGGTGTCAGTGAATGGGTAGAGGATGGAGTTCACCGAAGCAAGTGGTGTCGATGAGTATCAACTAACTTGCGGAAACTCCAAGACGGTTGCGGAGGACATCGATGGCTTTATCAAAGGACTGCGAAAGCTCCGGGATGGATGTTTTGCACACTGAAAGCAGCGAAAATGTTAGTTTCCCCCCTTAAATTTTGTAATGCACTCCACGATGGCCACATAAATATGACTAGCATGATTGTTGAATCTATGCCTGTACATTATATGTCATAACAAATTGGACTAGAAGCCTTACATATGTAGGAAAAGCATGTTAGCATGCATTGAACAGGTAACCGAGCCATACGAGCTCTACAGAAACCAAAACCATGAGTACAGCTTGAATCTTTCCAGTATTTTGCTCTAACTACACAATGGTGGGACTGAGCTATGATTTCGTTGATAGAGGGATCATTCTTAATGGATTCGGATGATTATACAACCTAAGTTTTTCTGCAGAGCATATCGGATCTTGCTCTAGATGAGCAAGGGAAGGATGGTTTTCCAAAATAAAATGAAATTTAAGAGACAGGTCCCGAGATGATCATACCGTGAGATGTGCTGGTTTGAGCATCGTCCATGAATTCCACGAATGTCGCCTGAAAAGAACCATTCGTTTGCACATTTAGTCAGGAAAGGATATCAAGAAACTTCTGAATAAGATTGGATTGGAGTTGCTACATCGTTATAAGTACCTTCATAGCTTTTCGAGTTTCATTGATCTGCTCATATATCTTCTTATACTCCTTGTCCACTTCGTCCGTGACTTGTTGAATTGCCTGGGCATGGATCTGTGACATTCGATATAAAACATGAAATAAAGTGAGAAAATCAAACAAGGTTTCTGACATAGTATTCAGTACGACTCGAAGACAGAAAAATTTACGGAAACACAGTCTTGAAGAGCGTCCTTCCAACTGATAGAAAGATTACTCAAGCAGGCAACACAACTCTTTCAGGATCATTAATAAATCAAAATTAACTTCGATCTTGGGCTCTTTATCGGTGATAAACTTTTAGGCATGAATCCCAAAGATAAGATATCAGCGAGCAAAATTAACATTGATCACTACTGATCTTCATAGACACAGTGGAAAGTAATTCGTAAGTTCATGGTTGTGACAACTAAGCCAAAGCAGCTCAATAAGCAAACAGCTGGATCTATTTGCCTAAAGGAAACCAATGACACGATCGGTTGATGCATTTCCTCGATTCAGGATAGTCAAAATGTACAAGAGAAATGCTGGACTGCCTCGAGAGTTCGCCTACAATGCATCGATAACAGATTTGATGACAGTTCAGTCGAAAGATTTGCATCCAGAATGACGATCATCCTCGGAAATAATCAGATCTTATTTCTGAGGAACATATTCACTATGACTACAACAGTTTGGCCAATATTGACGGAAGATCTCCGTGATCGGAAGTAGAGATTCACAACAGCAGACCTAAGGATGCATCAAGAGTTACTGAAAGAGATTCTAACTCGCATCGTAAAAATCAAATATCCCTAACTCACAGATAAATGTATCCGATAGGAGGTTTTAGTTTGCAGAATACATCTGATTTGCTCCATTGATGCATCATCTCGAGGATTTTAAACTTACTCTTAACCAGAGCTCAGCAAGCATCAAGCAAATGCTATTCACTAAACTTTAAATCCTGCAGCAAATTAATCGGAAAAGGAAGTAGAAGAAAAACCTCGAAGCGCTTGTGGAGGCGGGAGCGAGAGGCGTCGACGTCCTTGGAGATCCCGGAGTGCGAGCGATCGAGGCGGCGCTTGAGATCCTCGAGCTGCGAGGAAGCAAAGTCCTTGAGATCGCCGATCGACGTCAGGCTCTTGCTCGCCGGAGGCAGAGCCGGAGCCGGGCCGGAGGTGTCGTCGACGTTGGTCCTGCGGTGGAGGCGGCCTCTGGTTTTGGACTTCCGCGACGACGATCCGGTGGCGATGATGTTGAAGATTGATTGCAGAGAATCGCGAGGCAGCGACAGCGAAGGCAGCGGCGACGGCGACGGCGACGCTTTCGGCTTGCGGGACGATGACCGCTTCCTCATCGCGACTGATCGCTGGCTCGCTCTCTCTCTCTCTCTCTCATGCCTAGTGGCGGGCTTTTCAAATATATCGAGAAAAATGTTTTATGCTCGGATTTATAATTTCATTTTTTATTTCAGTTTGACATTCATAGTTTATAGTTGCGCTATATGTAGTCACATTTTCAATTTCTCCCGATTATTATTTAATGAACCGAGATAATACATTTCATGCGCTTTTCTTAAATTGCCGTCGTAAATATCGAAAATATACTCATTCTAGCATTTATAGTGGCTATCAAAAATCAAATATTGATATCCATGATTCCATATTGTTCCCTATCTCTCAACTTTTACCTTTCGAAAAATATCAAAATCTATATTTCTAACCTTAATTTAGGCTTCCGTTGATTACTTTCATGTTTTGAAAGCTATTTTGATGATGTACTCTATATTTTTCTTGTTTTTTTTTTTTGCACCATTGTTTCAACTTTTTTTTTTCAGTGAACATAAGTGACCGTGACATAAAGTTTCGAGGGATCCGGGTTCATCGTTAATAAGCAGACTAGAATAGCAAAAAAGTGACAATTTACAAACGACACAAGTGTGTTGTTCAATGTTCATAGCTCGAAAACGGACTCGACTTATGTTGAGATTATTAATTTTGGGTTCTAGCTCAAAATTATAATTTTGAAATCCCAAACCCAACATATCGTTATGTTTATTTACATGCACAAATTTATAATTTTCAAATCCAATTACCCTATTGGTGCTACGCAATCTTTTCAAGCTCAAGGTCCATTCTATATCTTAAATATCGAAATCTAATTAGCTTGAACTTAAATATATGGTTAGTCGAGCAAGAGTAATTCGTAATAACTAGACTCTCACTATATGAAAAAATATTTCATATTCCCGCTAAACTAAGTAAAAGCACATATTAAGAGTGGTGAATGCAATCAAAATATTCATTTTTTTTATACTACGATTGATTTTGTCCATTAAGTCATTCAAATAAAGAAAAAGAAATATCACGTGCTCCTATAATATTAGGTAATTATTCGAATACAAAACTATATTATAAACTTCTTTTTTGTCACGAAGTCCCGAATCCGAAGGGCAGGCATAGGCAATGCACGCTACTGCCCGTTGCGTTGCGTACCCCATCGCTTCATCTTCACCTGTGGCAGCGCCAAAGTCGCCAAGCATCCAACCAGACGAAGGCAAGTCTCGTCAGTGGCGGAAGAAGACAGAGAGCATTCAAATCGACGCACCGTCTAGGCCACCGAATCGCTCTCCATCGCGCATTCCCATCTTCATCATTAACTTCTTTGACTGCAGAAACCAATGACACGACCCGTCCGCTCTATATACACGCAACCACACTCGGCGACTCCCCTCGCATGCGTTTCGCTTCATAAAAACCAAAACGAAACGCAGAGATAGAGATAGAGAGAGAGAGAGAGAGAGAGAGAGAGAGAGAGAGAGAGAGAGAGAGAGAGAGAGACCACTGACGACGATGGAGAGGGTGGTTCAGGTGCTTGTCAAAGCCGTCGTCAACAGGACGAAGAAGGTGGTCTCAGGAAGCATGAGCGTTTTTTCTATGGCGGAGGAAGTCGTTAAACGGCTGGTCGTCATCGGACCCGAGGTTCTTCTTTTCGGAGTTTTGAAATGCTTCATCGGTATGCATGCTTTTTGCCTTCTTCTTTCTTTTTTCTCCCACATTGTTTTTGGGTTTCATTCATGCATGGCATTTTCGCACCCGACCGATTTCTGAATGGAGAAAATAAGTATACTTCTCTCTGTTCACTCATCTTAATAACACGTATATACCTAGTCAAGAAAAAGGGAGAAACACGCACGTAGTGCAAAATCTACTCTTGTATGAATTTATACATGGCTAATGAGAACTTTTGACGTGTTGTGTTTGGTAAGGTGGATCTGGGAGGATGGCTTCTGTCACCATTTTTATTCTGGAGATCATCATCAACTTAAGGCCGTGGAAGAAGGATTAATCAGAAGAGATGATGGTACTGCTTGAGGGGAACTACTAAATTTTCTTTCTTTTCGGTGGCTTTGTTTCAGGCTCTATTGTTTTTATCTTGTGGTGTTTATACTGAATGTTTATGTTATATATGGTCTTCGCTATGGTAAGATAGCTTTGCATAACTTAAAGGACATGTTCACCATCGAATCTTTCTCCACGTTAAGTGAGAGTTAAGCCCTCGAAATAGAGAAAGATTAAACAAAACAAAGCGAAGAGTTAAGCGCTTGCTAAAGTTATTTCACCTCTGACCAAAAAAACAAAAATAAACAGTTATTTCACCGCTAGTTATCCAATTTCGACGTCTAGGATCTCGATCTCACGATGTAAGTCATAATTAAATGTGTGTGTATTTCGTTCTTGACACCCATCTAAACAAATCAAATTGTGTGATAATTTTCCTAGATGATATAATCAAACATTGAAGACTGATGTGGGATCGACACCTGTTTAGACTTTGCAATTAGGTATAAAATTGGTATGGGTGTGTTTGGAAGCATGGACATAGGTAACCAAAGTCGGGATAGCATCGAATCCTTCTCTCTTCATTTCTAGCTCTGAGGAACATATCCACATTCGCTTGTTCGGGATATATAAATACACTTGGGTTTGGACCTTGAATTGATCAATGAAGGTCAATACTTCGACTAATATGTTGCAATTTAATTATTTTCATGAATATTGTACATTATGTATGTACAAATGTTCTTATGTCGGTTCTTTAATCAAATATTTACAAGTGAGCATTTTATCGTGCATTTCAACTCTTGATAGGACTCTTGGGTTGAATACGGTGGTAAATAATTGTAACTAGAATGTAGATTAGCAAATAGTAGTTTTTAACCTCAAATTCGAAAGCCAGGCTCAAATCAATTTATTAAGCAAGGATCACTATACGAGGCAGATACATTTTGCCTCAAAAGAACATCATGGAGCCAATTATTTTTGTCCTTTAAATCGAGATATCGGAACTATCTAAATTTCCACAAAAGATAATAATGTGAGCCGGGTTTATTTACTTTTGAAAGAAGATATTACAGATTAATGAATTTGCCACAAAAAATGCCTCCTTGAGACAGATTTGTTTGCTCTTGGAAAAAGCTATAGAGGCATAAGAATTGCTGCTATGGTATGTTATTAATTAGAGGCAAAAGTCACGTTACCGTTTCCGATGCATGCCTGGGAAGTTGTTGCCCGAATTATCGGAAGCCAACGAAAATTAAAAGGCATTGTTCTTCGCTTAGCAGTAAACAATGCGCCGGTGCTAAAATTTAGGAGCCACATTGAACAAATCAAGAGCTCATAGACCATATTGCATATTGGGCTAAAGTTTACTGACTATTTATGTCATTATCCCAAATTAGTATAGTTGTGCACCTTCTTTCTCCCACGACACTCTTCAAACTCTATTAGGAAGCACGACCTATCACGCCAAACGAGTTTTCATTGACTTTGATTAAAACATGATCATCAATACGAATTCAAACTCCAAGAGATTCGTATCTTGTTCAAGTGGCGCCCTCATTTTCAGAAACAAAGTTCGAATCAATCGTTCTTTTCACGCAAAATTCCCTTCCATTAATGCTTCTTTATTTTCTTTTAGAGTTAATACTACGAAAAACCTTAAACTGGTACACTTATGACAAATTTACCCTCAGTTTGTTTCTGTTAAACTTAAACTGTTAAATTGCTTTGTTAAATGAAGTGCGGCAATTGAATGATGTGCCGGTTTTATGTTTTATCCTCTGTTTGTCACAGGTGTAGCAATTTGTGATTTTGTTTGTATTAATCCAATTTAACGGATACTAAAGGAGGGTAAATTTGTCACAAATGTACAAGTTTGAGATTTTTAATGGTTAAAATATTAGTTTGGGGTAAATTTGTCACGTGTATATCAGTTTGGGGTTTTTTGTGGTCAAAAAATTAGTTTGAGGTAAAATTATCACGGGTGTACCAGTTTTGGATTTTTCGTGGTATTAACCCTTTCTTTTATCAACAAATAACCAAATGAACGCTCATGATTATTAGGCGAAGCTCGCTCGGAACTCGGTACGCCGTTGGATCAACACATTTTTTTGGGCCCAAGTTCGTGGATGAAGTCTGGGCCCACCCAAGATAACACCCAGGCCCATCTTGGGTTAATTCGAATAATTATCAAATCGCGAAAATCATATTTTTTTATAGGAGGGGATTATTTTATCCATTTCCTGTGAGCCGTGGCCCTTCCATTCCATTCCATACCTTCGTATCCATCGGGCAGTAGTAGCTCGCTGAAGCTCGTTTCGAAGAAGAGGGACCCTTTGATGGTAATCAAACGCCATGTGTTTACGGATTAATTTTCTGTAATGTGTCCCCCGGAATAAGTAAGTCTCTGATCCTCGTTCACGTCCATGTATGTGTCGATCGTGTTTGGCGTCGTCCTCGTTTGATTCTTTCTCGTTCTGTCTTCGTTTCTCTGATGCTTCGAATTTGAGTCGATCGTGTTTCGGCGCATGTAGTTGTAAGCTTCATGGTAATGTGCTTTTGCGTTCTTGTTAATGAATGGCAAGAATTCAATTGGTTTCTCAGCTGGGTATTTGAATTGGTTGGTAATATTCTAGCGGATTTTGGCATTGAGAGAAATGATGAAATTGTGACGATGATGATGGTTCTCGAATCTTGGAGGAGGATCAACATTCAGTTCAAGGGTGGTACGTTTCATTGTTAGGGAGTACTTGTGGGTTATTGCTAATGAATAACAAGGGTGGTACGTTTCATTCAGTTCAAGGACGATTCTTTCTTGTTCGTCTTCGTTTCTCTGATGCTCGAATTTGAGTCGATGGTGTTTCGGCGCAAGTAGTTACAAGCAATTGGTTTCTCAGCTGGATGTTTGAATGGGTTGGTAATATTCTGGCGGATTTTTGCTTTGAGAGGAATGGTGAATTGGTGACGGTGATGATGATTCTCAGATCTTGGAGGAGGGTTAACATTCAGTTCAAGGGTGGTACCTTTCATTGTGTTAGGGAGTACTTGTGGGATCTTGTTAATGAATAACAAGGGTGGTACGTTTCATTCAGTTCAAGGATGATTCTTTCTTGTTCGTCTTTGTTTCTCTGCTGCTCGAATTTGAGTCGATGGCGTTTCGGCGCAAGTAGTTATAAGCTTCATGGTAATGGCCTTTTGGGTTCTTGTTAATGAAAGACAAGAATTCAAATGGTTTCTCAGCTGGGTGTTTGAAATGGTTGGTAATATTCTAGCGGATCTTGGCATTGAGAGGAATGGTGAAATGGTGACGGTGATGATGGTTCTCGAATCTTGGAGGAGGATCAGCATTCAGTTCAAGGGTGGTACGTTTCATTGTGTTAGGGAGTACTTGTGGGTTCTTGTTAATGAATGACAGGAGTGGTATGTTTCATTGTGTTACGTTTCATTCAGTTCAAGGATGATTCTTTCTTGTTCGTCTTCGTTTCTCTGATGCTCGAATTTGAGTCAGTGGTGTTTCGGCACTGTAGTTGAGCTTCGTGGGAATGAACTCTTGGGTTCTTGTTAATGAATGACAAGAATTCAATTGGTTTGTCAGCTGGATGTTTGAATTGCTTGGTAGTATTCTAGCGGATTTCACATTGAGAGGAATGGTGATGACGATGATTCTCAAATCTTGGACTAGGGTCAAATTTCAGTTCAAGGGTGGGACGTTTCATTGTGATGGAGAGTACTTGTGAATGGAAGAGCCTATCCCGCCTCGTAACTTGTTGGTTATTAAAAACTCAGCACTGCTTGGAATCTGTCTTGAGTATTTTTGCCATTCGTTTACGTCGACGGATTCTTTTCTGAATTCACTTCTACCAGAAGTTTTTGCTTTTAAAAGCATTGAGCAGGACATCTATCTCTCTGGAAAAGTTCGGTTGAGGACGTAGTAGAGCATCTGCGAGCTGAAGATCGGCGATTTTGGAGTTTGGAGTATATTTACAATGTCTACAAAAACTGCCTCAGTCATGCTTGTCAAGTTCGCACGATATATGAGAAATACAAGAGTCCAATTGCAGTTCGGCGAATATTTTTTGCCCACCTTTATTGCTTATTTTTTTATCCTTAGCATCTGGTGGAAGAAAGACTATATGTGGAGATTTGAGACCTGACATTTGCTGTCGCAATATGGAACACCAAATTGTCCAACCTTTCAAGCGATTGCCGTGTCACCTTAATGTTGTTTTATAATGAGTTCTCATGAACGAAATCATTTTTACTTGCAGGTAGGAATGATCATCAAAGGGTTGTTCAGAAGATATGAAAGATGGAACCCTGTGCATCCAACTTTCGGAGCCTTTTGGGGCATGGGATTTGGTTTAGGATGTGGTGTTGGATGGGGTCCTGGTTTTGGCCCTGAGGTGGTTGGCTATGTTGGAGCTGGCTGTGGTGTTGGGTTTAGCGTGGGCTTCACTGTGGCTGGCTTTGGCATTGGTCTTCCTGCCAATTACCTCTTTGAAGTGCCGTACAATGGTACAGGTTTTCAATTTGTAACTGCTATCATGCGCATTGGTTAAGCTCTAATATTCGGCGTATGTAGACTAAAGTGGTGGCTGTGGCATGAATGTTATATGTTGAAGCAATTCGCTTGTCTTGAACTTGCGATCTCTAATGCTTAGTTATGGATCAGTGGAGTGTCCAGAGAATGGTGGTTTTCTAATTTCTCTATCTGAAACTTTGTTATTGCATCCATTTGTGCAGTAGTTACGGCAGTCAGAAGTAATTCTTCAGAGCTCGGCCAATTTGGTGGTCTTATTTCAAGGAAAAGCATTGGTGGTGGTGGCTGGAATATTGCACCACATGTCTCGTTCTTCCCTACAGAAGCTGGCAGAAAGCTGTCTAGCTTTAGGAGAAAACATTTTCTTCAACCGACAGCCAACTTGTTTGACATGAATTTTCCGTTACAATCTGGGGATGTTTGGAAATGTCTCGGAGCATTTGGCAGTCGACTTGTTCATCCTCGTAAGGGTATGTATAAAAGAAGGCATTCTTGTAGCTTATTGAGATCAAGGGCTTGCTCCTTAACTACTTTAATATCTTGCAGTGCCACACCTTGGAAAATTATATTTCAACTATCTCCAGTTCTATTGCTTTCCTTGGCTTGCAGTTCTATATTTCTCATTTGTTTCCTACGTTTCCTACGGCAAGACAAACTGTGGCCAGTTGCACAATAGAAGTGCTTTTGGTTAAATCATGGATTGCACACATAGACAGCACAGTTACCTAGCTGTTTTGTTGAGTTGAACTGCATTCAGGTATGGATGTGCAGCTGATGTCGGAATACAGGGTTGAGAGTTCACCAGTTGACAAAAAGGAACTTGATCTAACTGGCTGCCTTGCCTTACAGGAGATGGGAGGATACTTTAAGCAAAATGAAACTGAAACTGATTCCGATACAAGGAAAACACAACTGCTTGGATTTTTTACATGTCGAGACTTGCTAGATGTTAACTACTTCTATGCTGTGGACGGATCTGACATTAAACGACTTGACGTTTATCATCCTTTTCACAATTTTTTATAGTTGGTTAGAAGATTACAAAGTGATTCATCTATGTCACCTGCAGGTTTGAAGGATTGATATCATAGAGATCTCCCAGCAGAAAATCATACATACTGTGGAAATGGTTAGCATCTAAAGTACAAGCGACTTCTCTCATTTTGGGTTACAGATTAACGGATCAACTTCTTGTTTCCTTTTTCCACACAACGATCTACTTTTGCCTTCTTGGTTTTATTTCTTTTTAGAAAATCAGTATTATTTGATTGGTATAATCAAAACAAGTAAGAGACAAGCTAGATAGTGTTGCACTCGTTTTCCTTTAAGTATATGATCTAGGATCTAATTGTTCCTACCGCAGCATAAATTATTTCAATGGCTGAGATGCATATACATAATGTTGGTTGATGATGGATGGATAAAAAATTAATTATTGTCTTGTACTCTGTTGTAGGCTCATGGTCACAAGATTCATTTTAGCATAGTGTGAACTATACATGTTGTTGGTGGGTGGCAACTGAAGTGAAGAGTGCGGCAAGATTGTATGTGTTGGTAGCGAAAGTGCAGAAAATTTCGAAGGCAAAGCTTTGGTTGAGCTTTCAATTATGATGCATATCCTTGAGATTCAATGAGTTGATGGGACACAAGGAACGGTGGAAGAGGAACGACGACACTAATTGGTAATTGTCGATGTTTCGAAGGGAAGAGACAGACACCTTGACATTTATTTCAGGTGCTCTCATTTATCCAGACCACCTCTTTGAGGCAAGGTTAATAGCTTCAACAAGTAAAGCCAGCCTTACTCAGTAATACCCTTTGTGAATCTCTCTCTCTCTCTCTCTCTCTGTCTGCCAATTGAACTCGGTAAATATTGGGTGAAATCAAACGAGTCAGGTTGACTCAGCAATTTTTCTTGTGGCTTGGCTTCTTCTTGGAAGGGTTATTAACTTTAAACAAGTTGCCATCGACACGGACATGAAGATTGACAATGAGATTGAGCTGAGAATAGTTGGCGTAGCCAACCTCCATTGTGAAAGCCGCGATATATTACACGGAAGGTGGTAAGCAGTTGTTGAATGAGGGTGGCATGGCATGTCATGAAAAAACACTAGACCTAAATACCTTAATTTGCTGAGGATCGATTTTCGTGCGAGTCCATCGAATCGTTTCTACATACTTGTTAAGGATCAGGATGACTTCGTATCTTTAGCTTTTCCCCCTTCCTTGTTGCCCAGAGCTTCGGATCGCAAGATCGAGACAATATCTTCCTATCCCCTGGAATCGAGTGAAACCGATGGGAGTAGATTTCCAAACTCCCATCACCAGAGAGCATGTCATTATCGCATGGCTATTCAGATTTGACTCCATCTCAAGTCCTTGTGGAAACGGTCGCATCCGACCATCCAGCTCTAATAATGCGAGCATTTGAATGGTGTGTTAGCACTATGATTCCGTTATCTAAAACATCACCATTCATCACAGTCAAATTCTCAATGACAACTCAAAGTAAGAGTTAGAACCAGCAGGAGAGTTTGAGCAAGCCACACAGCTAACTTCTCAAAATGCCTAAGCGAACTTCCTATCATGAACAATGATATCTTTATGCAAAATCTCCACATTATCATGTTCTAACTCTCTAGACATGAACCAAGATCGCGCAAAATTGCACACTCGAAATACCATTCAATTATTAATACATTTCCGATCAGCATTGAACAACATAAAGATGCATACAAGATTTCACCTGTAGCACAAAATCTCCATTCTCACGCAATGTCTAGACAACTTCTCATGTTTTCATTACTGGAAGTTCTAATACATTTCCAGATAGCCTCTGAGGTACATACATGCGGCATGCAGGGAGGTTTATAGTCCTTCTATGAGCAAAGGACATTGAGGCAAAGCCAAAAAACCCTCCAAATTTCCCAAGTGCACAAACTAGTAGGGAAAGTCCTAATAGCCCCATACCTTAAGGTAAAATAAGGCCCAGATGGGATTGGTGCTTCATTTGACGCTATTAGGTCATTAGACAATGAAACCAAATACGTCAAGATAAGATACAGATTCAAGAATACAAACATCACCATCAAAGTGCAACATCGTTAAGATCACAGATTCTGAGATTTATCAGCTCTTGTTGTACTGGAAGTATGAAATCTCCAGTCTACATAAGACACATGGTTTATTCTAGGGACACTACTTGAGCGCAAAATTCAACATCCAAAACATTGGTTCAACATTGTTGATGAGACATCATTGTCAGAGCTGAATAACATTAAAATACACATTCTGATCTGACCCAAGCAGGAGTTGCTGAGATACCATTCCATCATTGTAAGTGCGACACATACTTGCAGAAAAAGGATCTGGACAAAAAGTGAATTCGGTTATAATTATTCTACTCTTTCTTGAACAGCTCACAGAATAGTTGAAACGGGAGAAAAGATGGTATGAAGAGATGGCTACGAAAAGATAATAGTTACAGATGAAAGAGGACTTACAAATAGGCAATTATGCATTTCTTCTTGACAAATCCGAGAGATTGCTGTCTGAGTACCCGGATGGATGCGACTGAGCAGAGGAGAACGAAACCATGTCAGACCTTTGACCATCAAAGAAGAACCTCTTCTCTCTGGTCTCCGACCAGTCATCAAAGAAGAGCTGAACCGGTTGCTGCTCCTGCTTCACTGGACCCGGCGAGCTGAAATCCATGCCAAAGAAATAGTGTTGTTTCTGTTGCTTTGACGTTGCTTCAGAAGGCAAGCGGCCGAATTCTTGAAGAGGAGAGCTGTTCCCCGTTTCTGATAAGAGGTCAGCAGGTCCTTGAGACGCTGCATGATGGGTGTCTAAAAGAGAGCCCATCTTTATAGTCCCAGGCGCTCCCATCATGGATTTGTGTGCATCTCCTCCAGGCTTGAGTTCACTTTCAATGTAAAAAAAAAGTACATGATTACTGGCTTTTAGAAGTAACAGATTGGCATAAACAGAACTGACATTTGAAGGGGCTCGCAATGTGTCACGTACAAATGAACTTTACGAAATACTTGCAGAGAAATGAATTGAAGAGCAACAGTGACCCCATCCGCAACAAAAAGAGAATAATAATCAGGGGAAATAATGAAAAACAATGAAACACGAAATAAATTTGCATCTAAACTAGGAAGAAATAACGAAGAGATCTCATCTAAAATTTGGCCCTTGTCACTTTCTAAGGTGGTAGGTAGAAGCATCAACTTCAGATGCTCAATATTGATCCGCAATTATATGCAGAAAAAAGGCACACAATAATCTCTGTGGATTGTCATGTTTGTGCCACAGACAGCAGGCTCCACAATCGTATTATGGTTGAATCTCATTGCCAACAAGATTCTTTCAATTATGCAGGGACCTTAGGCAAGGGAGAGCCCATGTATCCTATTCACTTGATTGGTCTCATTTTCCAATCCTGCTAATCAAGTAGCTGTACATGTAATTACTTCAGGAGATTTTCTTAAATATACTAAAGCAAACAAATGAGAGTACAATAACCCCCCACCAAACTTCTCCCTTCCTTGGAGGCTTTGAAAAAGAGAAGGCTATCGTCAGGAGGTGCTACTCTTGCAATAGTAAAGCAGAACCATCACTCTTGTTTCTTAGCCATTTATTATCTGGATATGGAACTTGGCTAGCAAAATATCTGACATCCATTTTATAACAATGATTTTTGTTAACTTATACAAAAGATAATCTATTTTAGATCCGCTGGGTCATGGCATGCTTCACGGAAAGAAACATAGTACTCTACTCTTGAGACTGATTTAGGACAAGCAAGAATAGAACGGCTGCCGTAATTCCACTTTCTTTGGTCAACTAAGAAGAATGCCAAGTTTACATATTCGTTATCAAGGGATCTAAAAGTCGAGAACCTGAATGAAGCGATGTTTCCCCTGGCAAACTGGAACCTCAACTAAGCAAACTGGAACCTCAATAAAGGAATGCCGTGCACAAAAATTACATGCAATTGCCATGATATTCAACTCCATGCTTAACTATAGAGGTAAAGCTTCAAAAGACATTTACACGAATCATTTAAGTCCCAAGACCAGATTATCCATCCTGCTTTAAAAAAATCACAAGGAAGCTCACAAGAGCTCAAAAGGTCACCTTAAATTACGTTGTTTCGAACATGGAACAGCGTACCTGTACTTGTTAAAATTCCCATATGGTGAACTCTCCACCTGCAACTGCGAGAGGCCACTTCCAAAGCACAAGTTCACAGGATTACTCAGGGACTGTGAAGGCAGGTTCTGGAAGCTTCTGCCACCACTAGAGCTCCCAGTAGCAACGTCTAATGTAGCAGTTGACAGAGACTGAGAGACAGTTTGTGATTCCACAGGCTTTCTTGAACGGTAGCGGCCACGGTTCATGTGCCGCTCACAGTACTTAGAGTCGGGGTGTGCATCTTTAGAGCACCTCCACTTCTTACCATCTGTCCTTCGACATCTACCTGGCTCAGGGTCTATTTTCTTCCCGTAGTAGGAGTAATAACCAACTGCAACATTGAAAGCTGTGAATAGCATGCCAATTGACCAGAAAAACAGTCTCAAAAAAGAGTGAGCAGGTCATTCAAGCAAAATCATGTGATGGCGCAAACTGGAAATGACTGCCTTCACAGTTACTATCTTCAAAACTCTGATTACTTTACAACAGGCCCCAAGGTCAAATATATACACCATCTGCTTATTAATCATACATCCAGCATGATGGATGTAACAGGCAAATCTTGTAAATAGTTTAGGCGAGATAGCGAAAAACGAGATAGGGAAAAACAGAAAAATAAACTTCTGACCCCCCAAAAGGGACAATCCCCTACACAAAGTTGTCGTACAAACTTAACTTCAAGTGTTGATGGGCATTTGATATAAAGCTTAGAACTTTATGTGTTCTACCATCTGCTACAGCAGTAACACGAACTCATAAACCAATTGAAAGACATGAAGCCGTTTAAAAGCAAAGTCATGTAAGGAAAACACATCAGATATGAGTTCCTCCTTGCAAATACAAAGGATGAAGACCCATTTGAAATTAAATCCAGAAGCACGATGGAAACTTGGAAAGAAATTCTTCCGGTAATTCATGGCCTTATCATCGTGTACCCAACTAAAGCGCGAACATCAGAATCAAAACTTGAGTTTTACATTCCCACCTCGGAATTGAGGAATAGCCCATCATTTTGATTATTTATGAGCAAAACATCAGAACTCACGAAGAGACTCACGTGTAAAGGTTTGAACACACACAGTCAACATACCATAGAAACAGATTAGAAAGATCAAAATGTCAAAAAATAAGAAGGGTTAAAATGAGCTTACAGCTGGGGTAATGAAGTAACCTAGCAGACATGGCCTCCAGGCTTCGGTGGATGGGGGCGAGAAGCTCAGGAGGCACAGAAAGTCCCGCCTTCAGGTACTTGAAGATGAGGGCTTGGTGCTCCAGCTCCTGCCACTGCGCCACCGTGAACGGCGGCCACCCCCCTCCTCCCCCTCCCCCGCCGCCGCCGCCGCCGCCGACAGACGCATCGCCGCTCATGTCACCACCCCTTCAGCTCCCCTTTCAGCCTTTCAGCTTAGATCTTCCCACTCACCTCAGCCCTCTTCAAGATTTAAAAAGGGCCCCTTCTTCTCCTGCCTTCGCTTCCTCCTCTGGGTCTACCCTCAAGTCACTGTTCAAACCCAAAAAGGAAATTAAAAAAAAAAAGAGCAAACTTTAGTGGCACGAATGACCCATTCAACGTTTATCGATGGTGGGTATGAGCGAGAGCGAGAGAGAGAGAGAGAGAGAGAGAGAGGGGCAGGCGGTGGGTTGCTTGCAGTTGCAGTTGCTCACCTTGGAGGTGGAGAGAGTGGGTGGAGGGTTGATGGCCATGTTTGGGAATTTGGGAGGACAGTGAGCTTCCATTGTCTTGAGATTGTGTTGTCTCTCTCTTACCATTTTCTTTTCCCCCCCTTCTTTTTGTGTTATTACAATTGAAATTTGTCTTTCACCTGGAGTTGAAATTAAAGGAAAATAGTAATAAAAGAGAAATGGGGCTTTTAATGGGCTTGCTCCCCTCCTCCTGCTAAATGATGAGCTATATACATCGACTCAATTTAACCTCTAAATTAACATAACCTTAATTTGTTTGAAGAATTTCTCTCAAGGCATGAAAAACATTTGGTGTATTTGGGCACATTATTTCTCGTGAAAATGTTTTGGGTACTGTAAAATCAAGTCCTTAAATGTCACACGTCTTAAAATGGGCTTCTTATGAAAGTATGTAAATAAGCACCGTTTCCCGAATAAATCTGTCAAAATATATCATATATTCATATATAATTAGCTGAATTGTTATATAGGCTAGTTATTTTAGTAAATGGGTTGTAATTGGATGTCCAAGATAATATGGGTGTTAAATGGATTTATAACTTACCTAAACCTTTTCGATTAAAAAAAATTATCTAAACCCAATCCACCTTTATGACTCTCTCTTCATTTTCTCTCACCCTCACTCGATCGTGTTCACTCTGCATTCTTACCTCAGTTTGAGTATAAGTTTTTCTAAATTTGGTTATGAAAGTGTTTTAGCAATGTAAGTCGGGTCAGATATTAATCACTAAATATGAGTCTATTTAGGTCATACCATTTTCAAGTTAACCTAACCCATCTTGTTTGACGAATTTACTCTCGAGGCATTCGCCTAGAACGATGAGATCTTATCTTTCAAGAGTGTGAGATCTCATGCTTAAGCCTATCCAATAAAGGTGCGTGCAGATATAGTTCTCTCACTTTTACTGTTTATTAACTTGGTCTTCTCATTTTTGTATTTTGCAATCAAGTCCGCTAATTTTTCTGAATTTGCACGCTTTGGTCCTTTGAGTTTTGTGTTGTGCAATCAAATCCTTTAACTTTCTTTATTTGTGCAATCACGTGCTTTGTTTTGCTGTTATAACTAATATTGTCAAATAATGATTTATTTTTTCTTGTTTTTTCCATTCGTTTGAATATCATTTTCTTTCACATAAATAATACAGTTAAACGAATGATTTGATTGCACTGATCGAGAAAGAAATAGGATTTTATTGCACAAAATAATATTTAGAGGATCAAACCATATACATCTAAGAGGTTAGAGGTCTTGCTCGAACAAGATGAAAATCAAGAGATCAAAAGTCGTACTTGCACCGAAACTCAATAGATTAAATCCGTGCTTAACCTATGACAATGATGCGAGGTAACAAAATGGAAAAATAGAGAAAAGAAGAAGAATCTTTGTGAAATCCCAAGCCAAACTCCCAACTCATTCTGATCATGAGATATTATTATCTAATTAGGGCCTGTTTGGCAACTTGCCAAATAGTAAAAAATTATGTTCTTTTGTTCTCAGAATCAGTTTGAGAGCAGAAATCCATTTGTTAAATTTTTTGTGCCCGGACACAATTTTGCAAAAAATTGGTCCTAGAATCAGTTTTGGAACAGAATCAAGAAGCAAAAAAAAGTAGCTTCTTGATTCTGGAACAATTTTTCCATTTCTTATTCTTTTTCATTTTCTTCTTTTTTTTGGTTTGTTGTTGTTCTTCGGCCCGCCGCCCGCCGGCGACCGACCACAAGCCACTGGCAATCGGTCACAGGCCAGGGCCGGCGAGGCCTTGCCCAGCCAAGGCGAGGCCGACCTCGCTATCACCACCCAGGCGACGGACCATGGCGACGACGAGGTTGGCCTCGCCAGATTTGGGCAAGGTCGGGCCTCGCCTAGCCAAGGCGAGGCCGGCGGCGAGGGCGGCGACGCCCTCGCCGGCCCTGGCTTGTGGCCGGTCGCCGGCGCCAGCGACTAGCCTTGGCCAAGGAAAAGAAGGGAAAGAAAGAAAAAAAAAGAAAGAAATATTAAAAAATTCAAAATATTATTAATAAAATGAAATTTTGTGTAGTTACCAAATATATTTCTGTTCTTTTTCTATTCTAAGAATATAAATTTTGGGCAGTTACCAAACGCCTTCAAATGCTTGGAAATTGTTTCCGGGCACAGAATAAAAAAAAATCATTTATGACTAGAATCTATTATCGGGTACAGAATAATTGCCATGCGTAGCCTTAGCGTAATTTTGCATGCATTTTTTTTTATTAAAGGCACAATTCAGCAAAGTAGAAGACTCCTCGTGAAATCGCCTCCTTTTTAACTTCTACGTGACACGAAGCCAGACCGGCCTTGCAGGCCTGTTTAATAGCAAAGAAAATTGTTTTTCTCCTGAACATGCAATTACCCCCAAAAAAGGAAAAAAATAGTTTAAGATTTCGTTTATTTCATGAAAAATAAATAATTTGAATTATCATCCTAAAAAGATCGCTTATATCATTTATAAAAATGGAATAACGAAAAATATTTTCATCATTCGTGAAAATGTTTAGACATTAATTGTAATTGATTTTGAAAATATTTTTCATTGACTAATTATTTCGAGAGATACAAGCAATTATTTAAAAAAAAATGTTTTACGATGTATTCATTTTTCGCGAAATAAACTAAGGAAGAGCATGGTTGCTGGTTTCACGATATGCAGGGTAAGTTTCAAGTTCAAAAAATTGGAGAACCGCTTTCGATGGGTACCTAGAACGTGGAACAAGTATTTGTGTTTTTCTTATTCTACGACATTTGATGATGAGTGTGTAATATAGAATAACTAGTATGAGCTTCCATTTTTTGAGATATCCATGACCGAGACTTTTACCTTGTCAATGTGTCATATTCATCATGTGTCTAAATATGAGTTGTGGTAAGTGGATCTTATAAGCTAATGGTATCGTAATGGTTCGATTAAGATTACAGGTGGAACTTAGATAGATCCTGGAATTGGCTCTCGAACCAGTTACAGGGCAGGTTCTAGGTTCTAGAGCACGAAGGATAGGTTTGGAAATCGGTCTCAACGGGTAAGTTTCATGTCGAAATATGATACGAATTAGAAAAAGGAAAAGAGAAAAATGGAGAGGAGAACAATCATAGGAAGCTCCTAAGTCAAAAGGCCTTTTTTTTTCAGTCCCATAATTACGCTAAGTCGCCACCGCCTGAAGAACAAAAGACACAACTCTCTCTCTCGCTCTCTCTCTCTCTCTCTCTTCTCCTTGCGCGCACGCAGAGAGGGGAAACCAAGAAGCGCCATGAGCCTCTTCGGGCTGGGAAGGTCAGTGACCATCCTTCCTTCCGGATTTCGATCTCGATTTCGCGCCGCTAACCAAGCCGGTTTCGGCGCGATGCTTTCTTGTTCGGTTTCTTTGCTTTGCTGCGATTCGCGCGTTTGAAAGATTGCGTAACGGGCCGTTTCTGATCGGGATCCGTTCCCGCTTTTCCGCCTATTTGGCGCTAGTATCAAGCGAACGGAATCGGGCGTTTCGTCGGCCCGTTCTGGCCGTGATTGCGGAATCTAGGTTCTTGATTTTCTAAGAAAAACGTCTCGTTTCGCCGTATGCTGCTGCTGCTGTTGCTGTTGCTGTTCAGCTCCGTATAGTGAACGCGATCGAACTGGGTTTGCGCCGTGCGGATGCGCGCGCGCGCGCGCAGTGTGTTTTGAGTGGGGGTGGTTTTGTTTGTCGCCGGCTGGATGAGTTTGATGCTCGGGGCTTTGAGGATGTTGCAACTGTGCAATGAACGATGAGGAGATGGGTGGTGGTTGTTTCAGTTGGGTCAGTCCTTTTTAGCGACTCTGCCTGGTCAATGGGCTGGTGAGGTTGGATTGTTTTGTTGATAGCTCTGTCTGCTTCTGTAGAATTAGATCATCCTTCATCATATAATCAAGAAAGAATTTTGTTCAGCGGCCGCATGGCATTGTTGTCAATTCGTAAACCGTGGCTCTATTCCTCCATCCAGCAATGTCACGATTGCAAAGGAGCTGGTGTAATGCTGATAAGCGTTCGTTCTTGATTCACCCTTTTTTGTGAGTGAATTAAATGAAATACTTTTGGTCTAGAGGGAGTAAGAGTCTTGCCTTCTGGGAACTGTCTAGTATGACTAAGCATTCCTTCTTAATATGATCGTTCGAGGGATATATTTTCCCGAGCAGTGTCTTGCTTCTTGTTCGTTACATGAATTCCTTATCTTCTTTGCTCGTTTCCCTCCTTCTAGTACTATTGACCTGACCACCGAATTCTTTCCTTGCAAAACGGCTCAATCCTTAGATACCTTTTGGAGGTCCTTTTTTTTCCACTTCACGTTACAACTTTGTATAAACTATAAAGTACTAAATGGAACGAGTTTACTGAGCCTTCCTTCTCTTGTCATTATTTTCTCCTTCTAGTACTATTGACCCGACAATTGCTTACTTGCAAACGGCTTAAACTTCAGCTGCCTTTTAAACGTCCTTTGTTTTCTGCTTTAGTTACAACTTATAACTTACAAGTATAAAGTACCAAATGGTGTGCGGCTTGCTTGAGTTATTTGGACCCGTTGGAATTAAAAAGCATCAAATTGTTGTCAATAGGGAATTGTTAGAACCATACCAAAAGAGTACTTGAACCCTTATAATTTGTATGTACACAATATTACGGCAAGCATTTATGACATTACTACTTTTACCGAGATTATTAAGGCTGGACGTGATTTTTCAGGCTTTTGGAGGATATCAAAAGTTGCGATGTTGATGATCTAGCTAATAAGTTCGATATGATTGCACAGTCTCAACATATACTCGTCCTCTAGCGATATCTTCTAAACTATGGCTAAGTGTAATCTCCTGTTGCCTTCCAAAATAAATTATCAACAGTGTTTCCTACCTTATAAGCTTAAAGAATTTCCAGAAGCAAGAGCAGCTTGCTTTCTCTACATTTAAGTCAGTTCACTTTTACTTAAGCTCTGTCTAACGTGAGCTTGATCTTTCAGTTGATCATTTTTTCTTTACAGTTTGTGTATTGATTGATCAGGATCTCAATTATCAACAAATAAAAATGGAGAAGTTAATGAAAAAAGACCGTCTTATTATCGGTTCTCTTTGTTTGCACACGCCAGAGTCATCCTAGAGGAAGTAACTTATGGTTCTTCTTCATAGTTGAGCTTTTCATCGAATCACGTCGTTGAGATTTATAGTTGACAATGACAAAAGAAATAAAGAGAAATCATAAAGAGATGGAAGATTTTTCAAGTCCCGTATATATCAACTTTACCATAGTGCATGGTAAATTTATTTATAATATCTCCAATTGATTAGACAATACCGCCACTTTGTATGGTACTCTACTTCTTGAGGAGGCCTTCGTAGGCAATGGAGAATGGAAACTTTGGATGGCTAGCAAATTCTCAGAATCTTGTCTATGATAGCTCCGGTCAAATAATTCAGATGCACGATTGTGTTGATAATTTCTTTCTATGTCTAGCCTCTTGGAGTTGACTGTCCATCAAATTCTGGAGAGGATGTTAACATTACCGTTAATGTAGACCTTTATCTGTATTGCATTCCCTTTCTAGATTATACTCCACACATCGCCGATATAGATAGGACTTGTCAATATTGGTGTCCATGTGGAGCTTGAATACTTTTAATAAGTAGGTTTTGATAATTTTTAAGGAACCAAAGGCAAACCGCCACTTTATTTGTGGTAAAGCAGTCAGTTCGAATCAGTCTTGCCTGTTGGATATTTAGATGCTATTGTATTACTAAACTTTGGCATGACTCACGTAGTATTTTTTCCCTGGAGAAAGAGATGAAGGATGCATTTACATAGGCATTCTTCTTATATAGGCAATGGCAATGTGATCTTTAGGAGTGAATAATTTTTATTGACTGACTTTGGGAAATGAAATCTGTCTTGCTTCCACTAGTGTACTTCATGAAGCTGCTCTTGTTCTTGTGGAACTGGTGTTCTTGATATTTTGGTGAGAAGATGTAATTGATGATATTGGCTCATGTAAAATTGGGTAGGATTGTAAGACGACATGTAATATACGCACCTTAGATATTTGAATTATGCATGACTCATGTCCATATGGATCTTCCTTATAAATTGACAGTATTAATAGACTGAGGGATGACTAGTTGTTGAGTTTTGGAAAAATAAATTTTCCTTGTTTCCCTTATGCTGTATTTAGGAGATGAGAGAAAAGGGAGAATGAAAAATAAGTGGAAAATATGGATAATTTTTAAATTTTTGTGAGAAGGGAAATGAGGGAAAATATAATTTTTTAGGGATTTGCCACACTAATTTTCATCTGCTCCCTTTCCCAAACATAGTATTAGTATTTTGCAGTAGATAGGTACTTATTTTGTTTGGAGACAGTAGCATTAGGATGGTCGTAATCATATGTGATTTGATCAAATCCGCCCACATTAAAGTAGGTTCAGGAATGGATACAACAAGAGATAGAATATATGAAGCTGCATGAGGCATGAGAAATGATGAAATGGAATATAGTCCATGACTCTATATGGTGACTCTAGTGAGTGGAATAATGCTTAGTTGAGGATATTGTGACAAGTTAGCTTTTAATTATCGATGTTAGGGCTTAAATTAAAAGGGATAATGACATAAATGGTCCCTAAACTTTGGCCGAATGTACAAAGTGGGTCTTGAACTTTTAATTTGTTTAATGTGGTGCCTGAACTTTTCCTAAATGTGCAATGTGGTTCCTGAACTTATAATTTGTTCATTGTGGTCCATGGACTTTTGGTACATGTTCAATTTAGTTTCTAAACTATATGAAAATGTTCAATGTTGTCCTTCCATTAATTTCAGTTCAGAGATAATATTGAACATTTTCATATAGTCTAAGGATTAAATTGAACATGTACCAAAAGTCCAGGCATCACAATGAACAATTTAAAAGTTCAGGGACCACATCAAACAAATTAAAAGTTTAGGGGCCACATTAGACATTGGGCCAAAGTTCAGGGACCAATGGTGTCGTTTTCCATAATCAAAATTCTGGACTTAAAAAGATAAGAATCATTTGATTATTTTAGTATCATAGTTGTGTCTGAAACATTCTGAATCCATCAGATTTCGACAATGGATTAGTCTCTGGAGGTAAATATAGCTTATCTTGCTAACTTAACACATCCGAACCTCAAAAGTGCTGGTGTAGTCATTTTCTGAAACCACCGTAGGATGTTTGGCCATGTTTTGCTCTTGGTTTTGGATCATAGTTTTACACTTAAATTGTGGTTCTTGTAATATTGCTCTATATAGGCCTTATCGAATTATTAAGTGTCTTGTAGCTTCTGACATAGTGAAATAATAGTTTGAACGACATGTTATGATAATCTTATATGAAATTGAACTTTGAAAAGAGTTTTCTTACGTCAAGATTTTATAGAGATAAAGGTTATCCATATGTCCAACATTAAATGTATTAACCTTGGCGGAGGCAAGGGAAATTATTAATAGGAGGTTTTCAGGAAAAGGATTATCTTCTTTCCATGAATGATTTTAGTGCTTGGGTTAGATAGACTCTGGTGCCTCTAAGTGGTGAAAGGAAGGTTTTGGAAGTGAATTTACTAGGGTATTAGGGTCAAGTGTTAGAAAGATGGGCTAAATGTCAAGCTTGTGCAATATGTGTGATTAGTTTCCGTATACTACTTTTTTCGTCTAATTTGGCCTCAGTTTTACATGTCATTTCTGTACTGTAGAAATCATTGTTTATTTGTTTTTTTTTCTGGTTTTCCCTTGAAATACTTCCTCTCTACCTAGAATACTTTGTCCTTTAAAATTGATTTGTGCCTTGCTAATGTAATGCTTCACAGAAATCAAAGAACATTCCGGCCTAAAAAGAGTGCGCCCTCAGGGAGTAAGGTTGGTTCCATCTGTTTACCTATCCTTCTGGTCATTTCTTAGCTGATAAGTGCCCCTCTTTTCCCTATTTCTTTGCGACTCTTATAATTTCTGTCTTCACTTCGAGGAGCATCTACAACAATTTTAAAAGCATTTTTTTTGCATATTACTCTATTTATGCGCTTGTGACAAGGTCACTGTTCTTGTTTCCCTATGGTTTTTTGTGTGACATGGATGAAGATGAACAGAGGAGTCGGTTTTACATGTTACGACCTTAAGATTATTTAGTTAGAAAAAATGTACCTGAAAATTATCACCAGGTAATTTTTAATGCACGTCTAGCAGCTAAGGCGGCGGGGGCGACCACCAGCCCCCTCCCTTGGTCCGTTGTTGGACCTCATCATCACCACATAATGATATGATATCTAAAATTTGGAGCATTACCCTTCCAATTTTAGTGATCAAAATGTCTTCACCCCATAATAAGCTAAATTCAGTTGAGAATTTAAGGATATTTTTACCTTTTAATAACATGGTTGTCAATGGTCAATGATCCTTTCCGGAGATGAATTACTGCATGTTGGACTGCATGTTAGCGTCTATATTGGCACTTCTAGTCATTATGTAGGAATGGCAAAGACACAACATTAACATTAATTTAGCGGAAAAGGAACTGGATTTTCTAATAGTAGGGAAATATGAATAATGTATAACTTGGCGGGGTGGAAACTGAAAGACCATTATTTTTTTAGGTATTTACCTAATAATTTTGCACATAACCATGCTCGTCTGAAGTAAGTCCTTCACATGGCCACGTGTCTAGTTTGTACCCGGTCCTTGTTAGATGAGGTGCCAAACATCTAATAAATGGATGTGTTTAATATCAACTAAGAAGGATACATAACTAGCACATACATTATGATTGTGCAACTCATTTAGTACCGCTGGACTTTCTATTTTGGGCTATTTGTAAATTTTTTTCTTAGTTTCAAATGGTGTTCTTTGATTGTGTTTGTACTCAAAAATGGTTTTCTTGCTGCAATTGATGGTCTTACCTACAAACCTATGGCTTGACATTTTAAGACCTAGAGATCATTTTTAAATGTGTTAAAAGTGTTTTTTTAGCACGGAAATAAGTTGAGAGATGTGTGAATCATTACACTCAAAAGGACTGAAAAGTAGAGGAGAGAAAGATGTATGAATGCTTTAGTTGAAGCTTTCGGAGAAATGATTGCTATTATGGTATTTCACGAGTTTCTCGTTCATCACAACCTAAATTGTGGAAAATGAATTATAGCAGCTTATCTGTTTTCCAAGGAAGAAGGTCAATTGTCGTTTTCCTAGTTTAGCTTTAAGGGAAATGATTGCTAATATGATATTTCACGAGATTCTCGTTCATCACAACTTAGAATATGAAAAATGATTTATAGCAGCTTATCTGTTCCAACGAAGAAGGTCCATTGTTGTTTCCTAGTTTAGTTGGTGGACCAGGCATTTTGGACCAGAACTGACGTGTAACACTTATGGTACAGAGTGACCATTGATACCTTCTCTTTCTGGCTTCTCTGGTGTTTGTATATAAACAGCTGTGATTGCTCTACAAGCTCTCATCTGATTCTTTTTTTTTTTTTTTGCACAATGCAGGGGGCGCAACTTAGGAAGCATATTGATGCTACTCTCGGGAGTGGAAACCTGAGGGAGGCAGTGAGACTTCCTCCTGGAGAAGATCTGAATGAGTGGCTTGCTGTCAACAGTGTGTTTCTTTTCTAACCTAATTTTGCTCTCTCTTCACATCGCATGTGCCTGCATCCGCGTGGGAGCACACGTATGTGTGCACTTGCACTAGGATTATTAACATTCATGCAGCTAAACTTCCTCCAGCAATTATTTTCCTTTATGGATCCGAGCTAAATGAGCTGGTTGTGTGTTTCAATTACAGCCGTGGATTTCTTCAACCAGGTGAATCTGCTCTATGGTACCCTGACAGAGTTTTGTACTCCTGAAAACTGTCCTACTATGACTGCAGGACCCAAGTAAGTTACTGTAAATGATCTTTTCTTGCTTGATCTACATTTGTTGAGTTGTGAAAGACATAACAAGGCTAGCAGCTCTGGGTGTGCCTCAGCAAGTCATGATTCTTAACCGTATTCTGACAAATTTGGAAAATCCTAGTTTAGTATTTCTTGTTATCTGTCTATTGTGTGGATGTGTTAAGAGCTATGTAGAACCGACACTGACATGCGACACACGACACGAAAAGACATGCGATACATCATTTCTCAAAACATAGAGAATTCCGACACATTGGGACACGTTGTATATTAAATATATATATTTCTATATACATGATAAATTATTATTTTTAAATTTGATTTAAATCCACAAATAAATTAATAATAATAAAAGGCCTAGAATTTACTTCGTGTCTTGGAAAAATAAATAATAAAAAAAATAATGGCGCGCGTCGGGAGGGAGAGGAGGAGGAGCCGTCTGCTAGAGGGGTTCTTGGTCCATGAAACGGAGGAGGGTGGTCGTGGGTTCAGAGTCTGAGGGTGGGGATTTGGGGGTTTGGAGCTTGGAGGATGCGAAGGAAGAAGATGAGAAATGGTGAGGAAATAGATGCAATTAGTGTTCCTCTTCAAGGCCTCCTCCTCGGCGGATGTCGTTGGTTCGAGCGAAGAAGAGAGATCGCGAATCGAGAGGAGGAGGGAGTACAAAGCGCGAGTGAAGGCACCGTGAAGATGAGAACAAAAGACTAGGGTTTTCTTTCACCCTTTTCTTTCTTTTTTATTTTTTTTTATAAATTTACATTTTGATCCCTAATTTTTTGAAAATTTATAAAATTGACCCCGTGCGTGTCGGAATCACGTGTCGGGATTCCGGACTCACGTGTTAGCGGCGTGTCTGGCACGTTGACCGCGTGTCGGATTTCCGACACCTGTTGACCACGTGACACTAACACGTCGGCCTCCTGAACTTGTCCGTGCTACATAGGTTAAGAGTTTGAGCATCATGTGCTTCATGTGTTAGTGCTTTCAGGGGACTCAGGAAAAAGAAACTTCCTTTCCTTCATGTATAATTGACAGAGCTGTAGCAGGTGGAAATTTAACTGCTTTCAATGACAATTATCATTTGAATATCACAATGGAGAATTATAAAATGAATTCTTGTTTTTTTCTGTTTGCGTAGAAATTAATACATGAATGCAGTTAAAATTGAGTGATATAGCGATGCAAGTTATTAGGAACCAAATAACTGTGCAGCTATGCTGTTGGCAACTTTTAGGGGTCATCAAAAACATTTTAGGAGGATGTTGCCTTCTCAGTTTTGCACCTTTGATGGGGATCTTTTCTGAACTGAAGTATCATAGTATCTGCTATATATTGCTGTAATATTCTCTGCCTTGCCAAAGTAGGAAATCTGCTGCCAATTTGTAACTCTCACTAGTAAGCTTATGGTTGTTTGAAACTTGACTGTGGTTGAAAATCTGTCTCTTAGGACCCTCATCTATCTTGATGTCCTAATTGTATATTGTCCCTTTTGCATCTATCAAAAAATGTATTGTTCTTTTTGCTTCTTCATTAACCAAACGTAATCTGTTTAGCTGGTGTACCATGGACATGCAATAGTTGCATGCAGTGTTATTGATTGGATATCTCACAATTCTCTGACCTTAAATAGCCCTAATGGACATTGTAAACATTGTGTGACTTCCATGTTATGGGCAGATATTGATTGGTGTTGCTAGTAGTGATGTGGCTTTTATTTTGCAGTTATTTCTAGTTTAAAACTTTGCAGATGACACCATGCATATATTGATAAGCATTTTCACAGGTACGAGTATAGGTGGGCTGATGGTGTGCAAATCAAGAAGCCAATCGAGGTTTCAGCTCCAAAATATGTTGAATATCTCATGGATTGGATTGAGGCCCAGCTAGATGATGAATCCATATTTCCTCAGAAGCTTGGTAATGCTCATCCTCATAGTTTCCCCTCAGTTTTAATTGGTTCTCACATGAGTTGGAAATGTTGCAGTTTAAAGGAAAAGAATTATGTTGATGTCTCTTGCATACTATTTACTTTGCTTTCTTCTTCATAATTCTTCATAGGTGCCCCATTTCCTCCTAACTTCAAAGAGGTGGTGAAGACAATTTTCAAGCGGCTGTTCCGTGTGTATGCCCACATATATCACTCGCATTTTCAGAAAATTGTTAGCCTTAAGGAGGAGGCCCACCTTAACACATGCTTCAAACATTTTATCTTGTTCACCTGTGTAAGTTCCTTTCACATATAGAATACCACTCAATTCTATGGCGTTGTAAAGAATTTGGTTTTGATGTCTCTACATGGTGTCCATATACTCCACAGCCCAGTCAAATCTGATTCACATCTGATCGTGCGACTTTGCATTTTAGGATAAACGGTACCTGTTGAAATGGGTAAGGTACAGTTTAGGTACACTGGGAGCATTCGGAAAGTACTACCAACATAGGACGAAGGAGCAAGGAAAAGAAAAACTAAATAAAGAACGAGACTGAATTAGGCACTGAATAACTTTGGAACCGATCTCTCGATGACAGCATTGAGCATCCAGCTTGGGTTTACAGGGATTTAGGCTTTAGCTGATACGTCTTTTCTTTATATGATGGCAATTATATTGTGGAAAGTTAATTTCCATTGTGGAATGTCTACTCTAGTGGGCCCTGTGTATTGAATTTGTAAACTAAATCTAATCTCTCTAAGGACTAGAAAAGTTTAGAGAAAATGGCCTAATAAGGGAACATTGTTGAAAATTTTGGTAGTAGATAAGTTTTTTCCATGGAAATTCTAGTGTTTCCATATGTGGAGTCCTGCTGTATACTGGACTTCAAGGTCCTTAAAATGTTTGGTTGGGAGACATAGAAGTTGTAAATATGTGGTTTAGAGAATTAGGATTAATTGATCTAATATTACTTTCTCTTCTCTTAAGGAGCGACAAGTTCAAGCTACTGCAGTGTGTTATCTTTTATAACTTATTATATTTGAGATTCGTTAGGAATATCTTGTAATCGATAGTTACATGTTAGTCTTACACCTCATCAAATGTTTGTGGTCTAATTGACACGGTGCAGGAGAAGAGTAATATATCAAAGTTACAAACTTTTTGTGATTTTGTAGATCCTGGGTGTCTATATATGTAGGAAATTGGGTCCATAGGAAACAGTACTTACTAAGTCAGTGAATGAGTTAGGTATGATCTTTTTTGAACATGTGAGATTCCATATGAACTTTTTGGTGCTTTATATTTTGCTTGTTTATCTGTTTGCTTTTTACTATTTCAACTCATGCAATATCTGCACAGTTTGCCCTTAGCCCTCTATTTTGTTTTTTTCGTATCTCTTATGAGGATCATATTAGGTGAGCATTGGTGTTACTAGATTTTGGAAAATGGACCGGCCATTTTCTTTCCATCTGATCATGTAGACTTGTGGAGCTAGGGTTTCCATGTGCCTGCATAGACTATGAGACGTGGTTTCATGTTTGTTTGACTGCTCGAATACTGAATAATGAATATGGCCTTCTGTGATGGTGCTTCCTTGAGGAAGTGAAACTCATTTGGCTATCAATTTAGGAAATGGTGAAAATAAGTCCATAGTTCGGCAGCACAGCATCCTATTGAATAGTTAACATGTGTTGTGCGGCGAAACAGTGGAAAGTATCCTGAAGATAATGGTACTGTTACTTGTGCAGGAATTTGGGCTGATTGACAAGAAGGAGCTGGCTCCACTTCAAGAGCTGATAGAGTCCATAATTGTTCCATACTGAATGCAGTCTGCCGCCCAATGACAAAGCAGAGCTAGGCTTTTTAGATGAATAAGGACAAACTGCTGCTTTGCACTTGATCTTTAACGCAAGTGCTGTAATTTGTGTTATTAGTTAATTACCGTCATGGGTTGTCTGCTGTAAGTTGTGCCCAGTTAAAACTGTGGAAGTGACTCTTAATCTTTCCCAGAGCATGGCATTCTGATGTAGATGTTCTGAGAACAGTCTAAACATGAGGCTCTTAAGAGAGCCAACAAAGCAAATGGAAATGCGAAGATGCTCTGTATTACTATTGATCCTGAGCTGCCTAAAAGAAGTGCTGTTACCGAACTCATTTGTAATTTATTGATTATGTCAGAAACGTTTCCCATGTCAAATGGTGTAATTCTATGGTAAGATTGTGCAGGCAGGAGACAGGTGCATAATTTGCATTTCTCAGAGTTGCTTCTGGCAATGCTCTAGTCAAGGAAACAGCAAATGCTGCAGCAAACACTTAGCACTATTAGAAAAGTTCTGTTTTTGAACTCCCTGTCCTGTTAGCTATAGATCAGAACTTGGTTTAATGACTTGATACAACTCCGAATTTCTATCACCAATTTGCCAGTTCTTCAAACATGAGTTTTTCTAGATTATGCATATTGATATATGATTAATGCTTGATCCCAGTTCCTCATTCAGCTCTTGTAAAGGGCGCTACTTAGGAAAGGGCTTATTGTGGAGGCATGACAGTACATGAATCGTCGAGGATTTCGTAGAGGTTTCTTTCCCCAGATCTTAGAAAACAGGCTTGGAATGCCAGAGTTCGAGTCTCTCGAGTTTGATGGTCGGTTTTTAGGGATAAGTTCCCCCTTATATTTTCTCTAGATATCTAAGTGTATTGCTAGCTTAGGGATATGTCAATAGGTCCGATTTGCGTAGGAACTCTCTCTCTCTCTCCTGCTGTATAGGTTCAAGCTTAACATGCGAATTAATAAATTAGCAGTTTTATTACTATTTCTGTGGTTTATCCTTCTTAACCCATTCCATTTTTGTTCCCTCAATCTGTCGGTAGTACATTGATGTGGGCATATGGGAATGCCGTCGGGATTGTAAGCACGACACCCCTCAGATTAACTACACGATTCTGAAACTCTGAAAGGCTTCCTGGTAAATGATGAAGCATCTTTCGAATACGTTATGCGACAGGCCGTGATGAGATGATCATCCACCTTCCAAGATGAATACTAGAGGAAAAAACTCGAAGAGAATTTACCCACTTCAACAAAACATCTGCCTAGTAGATCTTTGGAGGTTTTCCGAGAACTCGAGAAAAAACTTTATACTATTCTCTTGTAGTTTGTTTATATGGACGCGCAATTCCGATCAATATGTACCACAAAATCTGCCGGAGCCATCCAAATGCCCCCTTATTCCTCTGACGCACTACAAATGAATAAACTAGAAAAAGTACAAAAGGATACGAAATTTGCACTAGTGTGCTCTCAGTCTATTCTTCTGGAGATACATGCAAGCTCCTAAGCTCGGAATGCCCAAACTGTCTAGCCGCAAAGCCGTAACAACCAACCACCAAAGCCAGCACACCCAGGACGAGACTGAAAAGCTGGAAGTTGGCAAGATACTCACCACGTGCCTCGCTTTCCACTGAGTTGCACACAATGCCGTTGCCCTTGAGCTGGCAACCGTCGGGCATCGAGGGTCCATATAGAGTGAAGGCCGTTTGGTAGAACCAGAGTCCTTGCAAGGTTATGGCCATGCCGCTGCAGAGATCAATGGGGAAACTGTTCGGTAGGAGGGCCCCGGCAATGGTGGACGCGACGCATAGTCCTATAAGCAGGACGAGGAGGAGGTGATAATAACCCTCCAGGCCCTTGTGCGTCGTGGAGTGGAAGTAGAATAGGAGGTACTCCGCGCAGAATGCCGTGGCGGCAATCAAGCACAGTGCTCCTTCTGGTAAAGGAAGGAGGCTGCAAGTGTAGGAAGATTGGCAACAGCAAAAGTTAAGTTCTGGGTTGCTCGGCAAACAAAGGTGGGAGCAAATGCATCAAAAACTCAAGAGTCTGTTAACTATAACACCCAAAGCAGAGAAGTCATATGAACAGTGTCGGTCACGTATATGCTGATGCAATAGTACTACTAGCGACGTTTGTGAAGTATCTGCAGCACCACAATACAGCAAACTCACTGGTAAGCTTCAGCAGTAATCCTTGAGCAATCAGCAACTAACCAGCTAAAGGTATCTGAAGATTTACTAAGTTATGACTCCACATCGAGTAAACAACGAGCCTTGAACTCACCATGCACTAATGGTACTCATAGGTATTCCCAACCCAAAAAGTTCCTCTTTTTTTTTTTTTCAAAAAAAGAAATTCTTTGTAGAATCACATGATTAGTGCAGACCTAGATTTTCATTAACCCTACCAAAGAAAAAATTAACTAAGGATACTCAAAGTAGACCCTGTCCCTAAATGGACAGGTCAAATGGCATTGCTGTGCGAATATCAAGTTTCTAAAATGGTCAAGCTGTGTTAGACTGAAAATGCTGCAAAGCCGGACTATTTCGGCATTAAAGAGTGAAACATAAAGCTCTCATCTTGTTAAATTTGTGTAGAAGCTTGCTCTAAATATTCAATTGTCAGCTTCTGCTTAGTAACAATCTAACGATTCCCAAGTGAAAGAGGATGCGTCATAAAACTAGTCCGTGAAGAAAGTGTGAAAAATACTTCTAGCATTTTCGCAGCAATCTGGATTCTGCAATGTTGACAATTTTCAGCCAAAGCCTACCCAGAAAAAAAACCAAAAGAAGAAGGAAAAAAAAGAAAAGAAACTTCGTTCTGAAGCCTCACTTTAGAAGGCAAGCAATTGCCTCATCTCAAGACAATGGTGAATTGCAACTACAATTCTATATCATTCTTGATGAGCACTTGCCATTCGTTGGTTATTAAGAGCATCACGAAAATGTCCGAGGGCATGAAGCTTGGAACTTAAAAATAGAATGTTGAGTGAAAGAAACCTACTGAGAATAAACTCAAGGAGTAAAGTGTTATCTTTCTGCTTCATAGGCTACAGATGCGAAGGGAAACAAAGGTCACCTCAGCCGAGTGGACCAACCTTGGCCTAAACGATGAAGCGATGTTCATAAACGACTAAGGGTCATCAGCTATATTAGGAGTAGTTTGTAAATGTAAAAGGTTCATTCTAACTGAGTATTAATTCTCATAGAAATCTGACCAAAAAAAAAAAATCTCATAGAAACATCGATTGATGTCCTAAAAATGAGAAACACCAACCTCTCAGCTCAGACTGAGAGCAAGAGTTTTTAAAGGCTTTAGTTTTTGCCTACTCAAATCAAATAGATTATCATTCGATCAGAACTGTTCTCACTACTCTAATTCCTTTTCCCCAAACCAAGACTTTAGAACAGAATAGAAGAAAAGACGAGATCTCATGTCTGGGTAATGGAAACATATGGACCCGCACTCTGTGAATTACAGTAACGGATCTCTTAAAAGTCCATCTAATTATTTTTCAAGGCAATGCCGTGAACTTTATGACCATATTCCTTTATGCAACTGAAACTTCTAAAGTCATCATACAACCCGAAAGAGGGATTAACACACTCTATCCAAAGTTTAAGAAAAATAAGAGAACACACTCTATCCACAGTATGTGATACAAAAGTACCCACAGAAGGAAAAACTCTGCAGAGACCAGCGCGTAGAAAGTATAAAGACAAAACGAGCATATCATGCATAGGATGTAAAGAAAAAATCACCATGTCTTAAAATTCCTGCTTCCACTGTTTCAATTTTCTAATTGATACTCTCCACCACATTGAGAGCATCAGCAGAATTCATTTTTATATATTCAGACAAAGAAAAGTCCATCAAGAATTAGTTTCCTTCTTCTCCCTCGGGTCCTCTGAGTAGAGTAATAAATGACATACTAAAAAATCAAACTGTGTATTTAGACAACCACACATCCATTATCTAGATGTTCCTCCAGGAGAGATGCTGAGCATTGGTACTGCATCAACCAAAACTCAGTGGCTCTGAACTGTTACCCAGTTACAAATTGTGTGGACTCAGCAGTGCTTATATTTGTTCAGCATTAATGCAACAACGGAAACCACTTCACAACTCCATATCAGAGAAAGGCTTCTAAAAAGTTCAACCGTGCATATAACACCACCACCCGGAACAAACATAAAGAGAAAAAGAAAAACATAAAAGACCCGTTGAGAGTAACGAGCCAGGAACCAACCTGGTTTTCTCTGAGAGCAGAGTGACGAGCCCGAAGATGAAGAACATGAGGAGCATTCCCGAATGCTCAAAATCGTTCATGTGTGCTGGGTTCAAGACTCCATTAACAAACAACTTGAGGTGGGGAGAATACAGAAGCTCAATACACAAATCAATGAAAGCACCGACTGTAATGACATATAGCTCCAAATGTTTCAGCCTCCCCTCGAATCCAGGCACCGGGCTCCACACCCGAACCCGAAAGGCCTTTGGGTTCGACACGTGCCTGAACACAGAACTCCACACATGCCACAAACCGACCACAAGAAAGAGAGTCCCCGGGAGAGCATGACCCTTGAAAGAACCCATAACTTCTCTGTTATCTACAAACACAAGCTATATCCACCTCTCTGTTTATCTGAATTGAATCTGTGATGAGCAATCAGGCAAGCCTCCTTTAATGTCGACAGCGAGCCCTCCAGTGGATGACACTACGGCGAAGGATAGAAGCAGTTTCTGCAAATTCTCTCCTGCTGTTAGAATTGGAGGCTTCTGGGTCAAAAAGCAAGGTAGTCAAAGGAAACGTGTCAACTCCTGTAGCACAACTATCGTTGTTAAATGGTTTGACTTTTTCCGGCTTCTTTGACAGAACGAAGCTAACCTAATGGGCAAAACAAGATATTGTTGCATCTAGATGGACGTTTTTCTTCCCCCCCCAGAAATGAAATGATAACAGACGTAATAAAAATTCAAACTTTAACCCGCCGGAGTTCTTCAATTGTACCAGCACAACAACTACCACTAGTACTAACACCGGAAATCAACTGAGGATCCAAAACCGCTAATTGCAATTCTGAATCTATGTGTCTTTATTGATATTTCCAGGAAAGGAGAGAGAGACAAGAAGAAGCCCCAAAGAGAAAACAATGGGCCCTTACAAAGTCAAATTGCTCAACCACGACCGGCATTTTTTTCAGTAAAAGAAAAACGGAAACTTTCCAGCCCCCACCTTTTTGTCAATTCATTCCTTTTTCTCTACGGATCTTCTGTTTTTTTAAGACGCTGAAACTTGCACCCAAAAACCATCGACCCCGAGAGATTAGGAGGAGGACTCAAGCTACCGATCCGTACCCATTGATTTTCTTCTTCGACCCATCTGAGCGAAGAATAACAAGAAGACAAGGTAATCTTTTTTGGCTCTTTTTATACTTCAGAGGCAGAGAGGGAGTGGTAAGCACAAAGAAGAGTACGAGTCAACGATGCATACATTCCCAAGAAATCTGGGGTGCTGATGGGGGGTGTTTTGCATAGAGAAGAGGGGGTAAAGAGAGAAAAAGGGTAGCGAAGAGATTATATATATATGTGAAAGAACCATGAGAGAAGGGAACGTACTTGTCAGTTACAGAGAAGGCGTGATTGGAGTTGGGGCAGTTCTCGAAGCACCCAACCCAACCATATATTACCCAAGTTCGCTTTCCTTTCTTTCGTCTTTCTTTCCCTCCCTCCTCCGAGAAAGCCTTCCTTTGATCGGCTCATGATTGCGACCCGAAAAGCCGCGCCATCATCACCCTCCCTCCGAATCACAAGAACCGGCAAGAAAAACGAATCGCAGAGAACAAAAAGAAAGAAAAAGAAAAGAAAAGAAAGTTGCACAAAAGATGGAGATAGAGATAGAGAGAGAGAGAGAGTGTGTGTGTGTAATGATGGCGGTACTGGTGGTGGTGGTGGTGGGGATCCGGTCCTTGTTCTGAACGAGAGGAAGAGGAAGAAAAAGAAAGACGGCATTGTCTCTTTATTTTTCCATGTGCTCCCCCAACCACCCAAAAAAATAATAATAATACAAGCATCAGTTTATTTTACAAAAAAAAATAATTTTTTTCATTGCCCACAAGGTTATATAGACGTAAATTACTATCGATGTTGAAAATATTTTCATTAATTAATCATTTTAAATAATATGAGCGATTTATTTTTAGAAAAATATTTTTAAAATTAATCGTTTTTCGCGAAATGAACGGAACTTAAAAGAGAAGCTATCCATGAAAAAAAAAAAGAAGCATCATTTGATTTTCAAATAATACAAGCCAGGCTCATTCCAGCTGGATAATGATTTCTCCGGAAGTAGATTTTAAGAACAAGATTCTTGAAAAAATAAAAATATAAAAAATTGGAAAATGGAAAGGAGCTGAATAATTTAAGAAATGGGGAGGATCTCTAGAAGTTTGACTTGATCAAAGATGTCGTTTTAATATGCCATTGGGATGGTGGGCCCGCCGTTGATCGTAGCCGTTCGATCCGTCGTTTTTCTGGTTTCCTCTTTCGTGATCGATGTAGGCGGGGCCCCGCTTCACGTTTAGGTCCAGAATGATGGACATGCAGCGAAAGATCGACGACATTCGTGTGGCGGTTTTCCCCTTAGTTCTCGGGGGACCCACACAAGGTGCAGCATCTCCCGATCGCTTCGAGGGTGTTTCGGGGAACGGCCTAGATCTACTTTCCTGTGATCCGACGGTCAATTGGAAATTCGAGGATCTGATCCTCGGAATTTGTTAAATGTGCCCACGGTTTTGGCATATCTTAAGTTGTGCTGCCTCACCTCCGCCTTGCAAAGAGGTTTTGGTTTGATCGTCTTCCCGTTCCTGACAGTGGAAAAAACGTACTAAAAAAAAAATTGTAAATCTATTCCGTTGGTACTAATTTAGTTCTAAACCTTTTAATCGGATTAATTTAATCTTATACATTTTCACGTTTTGTCAATTGAGTCAACATGACTAATTTAGCTTATAAATTGCCAACATGGACGTTGGAGATCGTATATGGCACGGCCGGTGCTGACGTTGACGTTTCTTTTATGCTTTTCCCTTGGCAAGGTGATGCAATTTTCTATTAAGGTCTCAGTCGAAATTGTCCGTCCATACACACAATTTGCGACCGCTAATTGGGGTGCGCGCTCATCCATAGAATCCCTCAATCGTGCCTCTAGTCAGCGGATCATGGGTGACGGGCGTCGTTCGCGTGCAAACTTAACTAACGTGGATGATGCCCGTACATATAGTTCACTGATGAAAAGAAATGGGATTGTGCGAAGTTTTCTTTCATAGACGACGGGAGAAACACCGGTTGATAATGGGAATGGGATTTCGCTACGAGTCGGATGCAACAGGGAGTGCGTGCAAGGCAAAAGTTCTGTCGTGAGGCAAATGTCTTTACAACGTTGTCGTGTTGGGCATGTCGTGTTCCCTGGAATGTGATGCTAAGCATGAATAGCATTCGTCATACGTCCGGCCTCTCTTTTCTAAGGTCGAGGAAGTGATCTGTAGGGATCATGAACTCGATCAGTCCAATAACCAAGAATCTGAAAGTGCATCTGATTCGAGGAGATAGGAAACATGGACTGCGATTCGCAGTGAAGTTATGCGCTGATTTGGGTCTGTGAAAAAGAGCTGTGAGAATAAAACTGAAGGATTCTAATCATGCATTAAAGAACAAAATTCAAGCACAATTAGAATCAAATGCGGAAAACATGATCGAAAATAAACTGACCTCCAGCCATTGTTCAACTTTACGTTCGTTGGAAATCCACGGTAGTTCAACGTCAATTCGACAGCGATTACGGGCGCACCCTACTAACCCAATCCCCTCGTATATTGATGGTGTATTACCGAATGAGAGGATTTGCGTTAGACCTTATGTCTACCCTTACAGAATGAACGTTCGTCTTTATAAACCGCTTCCCATCAAGGCGGTTATCGAAAAGGGCGGTTGTCACCGAACGGGTACGAAGCATGAAAAAAATTACATGTAGATAACCGTCACTTAAAAGAAAAAATATGGGTCATAACCCAACGGATAAATTTTATTTCAAAAATTATATCCTTAAACGTGGAATCATATTATAAATATAACAAGAGCATCTTTTCACGTGTTGTGATATAGATAAGACGTGGGAAGTGGGTTGCGTTTCGAATTGTATACTGGACCAAGATAAATTTATTGGTTCACCAGAATAAATTAATGGGAATTGGTTCTTTCTTTCCATATTAGTGATGAGAAAGATTGTCAGGGTACGTTTCCCAGTTTCAGCAGCTTCGCACTTTTAGCAGCCAAAAGTTATTCATCATAGACTTCCGATGGCAATTTGGCACCCAGCAACACGGAAGAGCTTGGACTAATAAGAAGGACAACATAATCATGCATTTGAACTGTTGTTTGAAAGCCCTGCAAGAATGTAATGTTTTCAAAATTGCCCTGTCTTTCCGTTCTTGCACATGAGTTCGTCATGAAAAATTATGTCTAGGAGAGCGAGGTTACCTTTTAACTTCTCCAAAAATTTTCGACATATCGAACAGCACTGGCCGAAATAACAGTTATTGCTAGGAGAAAATCACATTAAAAGGTTCCAATTCAAAAGCTAAAGTTATTAGGAAGGAGTACATAAACAGAAGTGACTTAAACCAGATGAAAAATCGACACAGTACACTTTGCCCTTCATCTCAAGTGCAAAGCAAACAGGTCGGAGGAATACTACAAAAAAAGTAGGAACAATCTTGCGCATGGAACAAACGGAGGAATCAAAGTAAACAAGGAACCCACCCCAATGAAGGGTTGAATAACTAAAGTGAAGCGGCAAATGTGACCATCATGTCCAAAGAATCCAACTCAGAAAACTCAAGCTAAAAGCATTCTTTATAAATTATGCTTGAACCATGTTAGAAACCGATGTGAGGCACTTCTTATAAATTATCTTCTGCCAAACCCAAAAGTTTGAAGAGTAGAACAGGGGTGCTGCAGAGTCTCATCCCTTCTCCAGTTCCACTGTTGGCCGTTGAGTTTGTCCAATTGGCCCTTTAACTATTTCCCAGACCCTTGGATCAGTCCCTCCTGCCTCTTGATTGGCTCAGTCTTTGCCTTAAGTTGTTCCTCCATTCTCCTGGTGTCATAATACCGATATGTTCCAAATGCTAGTTAATAATTACAACCTGAAAAGGCAAGAGTAGGTATATATTCCGAAGAATAGAATTGCCTTGCTGATCCTCACGCTGAAAACCGTTAAAGTTAACATGACATTTTAGGGAGGCCTCCATAGAATCTCTCACATGTGTTTCCACATCAAGCAAAGTGGTAGAAACAAGTCTTCATCAAGCAGTTATTCAGAGAACCTACCCAAAAACAATGAGATGCATAGTCACATGACTTAAGATGGATGACTACAGTACAGAATCTTTGATTTTGTGAGCTTATATTTAGTAATTCTTTGTTCATCCTTTGCAAGGTCTAGTGACATCTAATAAACTCATCCAACAAATTTGTTTTGGCTAAATATTCATCCTACATCTGAACAGCCTGGACAACAATCCTGCGAGCGAACATATTGTTTTCTTACCAAAGAAAGGCACCCATACTCACACACACATGTATTGTGTGGGACATTAAATAGGTATTAGATTCAAATAGCTCAATTTGACTATATCCATTAACAAGTTTTGAAAGCCCAAAACTTCAGTACAATAACAACACTTCTCCAAGGTCAACCTCATATACATCACAACTATAGATCCGCTCACTTCATCTCGACAGATAACTACACTCATCAAGCATCAAGTGTCAACCTCAAAGCAACATTCAATCAGACGATCTAGTTTACAAAGTCCATCCCAGTTACTAAACAATCAAAGACTATCTTCGACATCGACTTTACACTGATAATAACCCCAAACCTATATTTAAACAATTATATTTCTTGGCAAAAAGATCGACAGAGATAAAGAAGAGATGTAGACCCTCTCTCAAACCCTAAGCAATTCATCCACTATTGGATCCTGCTTGAGTTCTCCTCAACACAATTCTCGTCCAAATTATACACTAATACAAAAGAAATGTCTTCCCCTTTGGACCAACCTGAAGAAACATTACAAGATAGCTGTCCTATCACAAAACTGACTCCGTACGCGGACCTCCTGCTCTTTGGTACATAGAGAAAAAGTGAAAAGTCGAGGTTCACAGTTATCTCTTATTTTCAGAGATTACCCTTCCTCAGCTTGAAAAGCAGCCATTATTTGTTATCTCTTCCTATGTCTCTTTAGCCTAGTCTGTACCTACAGCTGACAAAACTACGTAATGATGCCTCACTAGTGGCATCATTCCGTAAGTTTCATCCATGAATAGCTTCAAGAAAAATACCATATCAGACACCTCGAACATGCTGTCGGAACGTGCCATACAACGAGGTCAAATCTGTTCAGCAAGTCCCAAACTCTAATCTCAAGCGCACTAGCATTTATAAGGTTCTAAGGCTTGTCATTGCTTCTTGAACTTGCCAAGGATACTCTAAGAGATGCATTCTTCAAGAAACGTCAATTAGAATCATGTTAAAAAAATTCACATGAACTAAGTTCGACAGCTGCTATGACGACAGAATAGGACAACAGAACAACAAACAAGACAAGGTCATCAACGAGGGAAAAGATATAGGTCTAATATGCTTCTCAAACAGCAAAAAGGAGATTGTGGCACTACTAGCATTCACTACTAGACAGAGAAAATTTGGTAAGAAATTACGGAATGACTAACTTTGATGTAAAGGTTGCAATGGTCTATTTCCAGAAGCTCTCACTAGCAAGTATCAAACCAAAGCAGCATCCAATGCAGTAAGATAGCCCAGCGTATATTCGTTCCGGCGGATTGCAGCAGAGGATCAACCTGATACTGCTGATCGAGTGCTTGTCACTTGGACAATCACTTTTCCAGCATTCGCGTCGAATCACACCATGACCATATCAGCTTGCAGCTGGTTTGCCCTGATATGTCAACACCTGAGTCGTAGGCTCCTTTATCAGGTTTAGCCTCCCCGACATCTCTTCATCGACATCGTATGGCTTGGAAATCATCTAAGATGATAATCTGAGTTCAAGCGTGATGAAAACGAAAATCTGCACCGTAGAACATGCTTCTCACACGTAAAAAGACCATAAAATGGACATGTTTACCTGTTGACTAGATCAACAAATCTCCAACAAGTAGAACTCTCATTACCCATAATTAGCCTCAACCCAACTGCAAGCAGTGTCTTTAGATATCCCTCTTGCCTTCATTAACTTCCTCAGTTCAGTTACACTGTCCCATTTTCCTGCATGTGCCAATGTATTAGACAAAGCGACATATGCCCCGGGCCGACCCTCGGCATTCAGCTTAAATAGTTCGTTGGCCGCTACACTTGCCATCTCAATATCACCATGCAACCTACATGAACTAAGCAAAGCGGCCCAAACATCAGAGTTGGGCTTTTCAGGCATTTTCATCGCAAACTCCCATGCCCAGTTCAAACTCCCTGCACGTCCTAAGAGATCAACCATGCAGGCATAATGCTCCATACCCGGTTTCAGCAAGTAATCCCTCTTCATACTCGAGAAAATTTCATGGCCTTTAGCTACTAAGCCAGCATGGGCGCAAGCAGAGAGTGCACCGAGGAATGTCACGGAATTGGGCTCAATTCGCTGCTCACGCATTGCACTGAAAAGAACAAGAGCTTTATGGGGATCTCCATTCTTTCCATATCCATCTATCATGGAAGACCATGTAAAGACATTCCGGTTGGGCATACATTCAAATACTCTGCATGCATCCTCAACTTTCCCGCATTTGGAATACATGTCTATAAGAGCACTGCCCATTTTTACATCAAGGATAAGACCAGTTTTTACAAGTTGACTTTGCATTTGTTGACCGACTTCATATGCTGCCATTAAGGAACAAGACCCGATTACACTGGCAAAAGTAGATATATTAGGCCGAAATTCCAACCTTTGCATCTCAATGTAAATCTCAAGCGATCTCTTTGCAAATTCACTCGACTTGCTGTAACCTTCAATCATGGCATTGAAAACCACGGCATCTTTCTCAATTGTCTTCCTGAAAATCTCTTCCGCATCCTCAAACGACCCTTGATTCATATATCCAGTAATCATCGAGGTTGAACAAACAACATTCTGTTCCAACATCGTATCGAACACGGCCCTGGCGTAACCAACCTTTCCATGCTTAACATATGAGTCAACTAGCGCCGTGTATAGAACATCATCCGGTTCAGTGTCTAGTCTCAGTATCTGGGCGTGAACGACCCCAGTAATTTTATATGGCAAATCCGCATCCTGGGCCTGAGTAGACGCCTTCAAGATCATGGAAAAAGTATACCCATCAGGCCTCTCGCCAACAGAAACCATTCTGCGCACCAATTCGAAAGACTCTCCAACTTTCCCCCGCTTGACGCACCCGCCAATCATGTAATTAAACGCGGAAAGAGTTCGCTGCGGCATTTCATCGAACACCGCGCGGGCATAGCCGAGGCAACCGCTTTTCAGATGCAGAATGAGAAGCTTGATGGAGACGTTCGTGTTGGGGTTCAGCCCGGTTTTGAGAATGTGGGCATGGATCTTTTGGCCGTGAGAAGGGTTGTCGGAGTTGATATAGCGCTGCAGGGCCGAGGGCAGAGAGTCTGGAGACGCACGGGAGAGAAGTTCTTGCGTTGGCGGGAAAAACGGGGTCCTCTCAGGCAAGGAGCGAGAGTAAGATCTCGATGAGAAAACCAGCGACCTGAGAGAGGAGGATCGGCCATTTCTCATGGTACCATTTGAGGGTGGCAATGCAGTGTCTCAGCTGGAACTGCAAGTATCAGAGATTATGAAGCAGAGATTGGAGGGACGGCGCGGTGATTTTCACTTGAGAAAGTGTTGCCCCCCCCTCGTGTTCGCAAGATGTTCTCGATGATTATGTGAGAATTATGTGCAATTAATGATCGATTAAATCCTTCAAGCAAGGAGTGATTTGTTTATGTTTGTTTGTTTTTTTTTTTCTTTTTTCGTGGCTCACGTGCATTGAAAATCTATTTACTCGTCTCATCAACTAAAACATGAGACGAAAATAATTTCAAAAATTGGAAAGTACATTTGTCCTTATTTACAAGACCTAATGCAATGAATTTTGTTGATATAATGCTTGGTAGGCGAATAAATATGGAAGACTTTGCAATTTCTATGTAATGATCTTTCTTATGTCGTATGTAATTAATATCACCACATTTTTCAGAGCAATGACTTTTACATCAGTGTTGATATCGTTTGTTTTATATTCTTAGTTAGCTTAAGTCTCGATATGGCTACAATTGCAAAGTGTTCTTTTTTTTTAACTTGAAAATGAGTGAAACCGTGTTGATTTGTGTCGGTTTTGAGTTAAAGTTGTGTTGTGTTGACTTCGAATTTCTCTTGATAAATTGGATTTGTGCTTGATTCGCGTTCTTATTTTCGTGTCAGAAAAGGTTACCCTAAGAGACACACTTATTAAGAAACTTGCAAATTACAAGAAACTTAAACCAATCCATGACTGATTGCATTTCTTTTACTAACAACTGCACGAAATGCGTAAATATGCTAACGTTTTCAAGGATTCCAACTAGAGGTGATTAAGGATTTGACTGGTTGATAGGACCGATTAGCTCACCTAATCCCAATTATCAATGCACTTGGGCTCATTAGGAGGCCCCGCTAATCCTTCTTTGAGGTGGACGGATTTGTGCGAGCGGTATCATCTTCGAACTTCACATATAGCTCAATGATTTTTGAAAAGATTTCGCGAGCAAGTCACACCAGCAGGGTGCACCACTCGTTAAACATCTTAACATAAAAGTTTTGTCAATTTCATAGGATTGCTTTTCTCAAATTATGTCCAGGCAAAATAAATTTTTTTTTATTCTGTATTGTTAATTAACCTCTCAAATATTTTTTTATGAAGGATTCGCCTTTTTTGTGTTCGGGCTCCTCGTGGATTCAGCCTGTTCCATGATGACCCAGAAAATTCCCACGACGTGCAAAAAACGAGAGCTTCCACTTATTACCACCTTTTTTTTTTTATAATCTTTTTAACCTTTTTCATTATCTTTTTGGAAATTCTAGAAAAAGGTGTCGGGCCGAGGAAAAGGGCGAAAAAGACAAAAAAAAAAAAAGGAAAAGAAAAAGAAAGAGAAAAGAGGAACGCGCTGAAGACGCGGGAAGAAAAGGTAAGCGTCACGGGGCATTCACAATCCCCGAACATTTGTACCCCCGTCAATGGCGACCTTCCACGTCACCAGCTCCCAAAGCATCTTGTCGCCGACGTACCTGTACAGATCTCTCTCGACCTCGTAACATCGTATGGTACGGATTACACCGTGAAATTTTTTTGTTAATTTTGGTTGTTCGTAGGTACATTTACCCCTCTTCACATTCTCGTTTTGCAACCCTCCTAGTCCTCGCGCAATATTTATGTGCTCTTGATGTACACGAACGCAATTTGTAAATCATTAGTTGGGGTCGAAATGCAACACCGGCATGCGACAGCGAAGGGGACACGTGAAAACGGGTAACGGACCACCACGATGATCTTGATCCAAAAAGTGGGACGGGGAGGGGGATGCATTTCAGGCGAATGAATGTGATTTTTGGACGTGCTCGGGGGTGGCCGGTACCTAAAGAAAAGGAGCAGTAGCCACTCTCTTTCTGCCACGCTTTTCTTCTTCCAAAACCTTAGTAGCAGTGACATCCCTTTTGGCGAAATCGCTTACTCTTCTCCAAACCACTCGGCCACGAGTCTTTTTCCCTTTCATGCAGACACGAAAACAGTTGTCCATCTTCCCAAGCTTTTCCATTTTATTAATCCCCCCCGGCACCGCACCGCACCGCACCGCACCGCACCCCACCCCGCATCAATCTCACTCTCTCTCTCCGTGGCGAATTCCGTCTCGGCAACGCCCTCCTTCGGGGTCCGTCGCGCTCTTGTTTTGCCTCCGATGCGCATGCACCGGTTCGCCTGAGATCGATCTCCGGTGCGGCGTCGGCCGTCGGTGTCGGGGGCGGGGTGGCATCTTGCCGTTTCTCTCCTTAGCTCCGTCTACGAGCTCGGTTCATGCCGGAGTCCTCGGATTCGTCGTCTCCGTCTTTCCTCCTCCTCCTCCTCCTCCTCCGCTCTCCGTCATTGAGGCGCGGGGTGATTGGTCCTGCGTATTCGGCGGTTCCGGTTCGCGAATGAGCGATCGGGGTCGCTTGATTGGCTGCTGACCCGAGGGGCTTGGCATTCGAGGTGATAGAGTTCGGATTGAGGGTTGGAATTCCGGGGTTTCGGGAATTCCTTCTTTCTCTTCTGGGTTGGGGGAGCGATGTCGAAGGTGGTGTATGAAGGTTGGATGGTGAGATATGGGCGGAGGAAGATCGGCAGGTCGTATATTCACATGCGGTACTTCGTGCTGGAGCCTCGCTTGCTCGCTTATTACAAGAGGAAGCCTCAGGATAATCAGGTTTTTCTTCTTCTTCTTCTTCTTCTTCTTCTTCTTCTTTTTCCCTTCTCTCTCTCTCTCTCTCTGTGTCTGTGTTGCAATGGCGTTGAGCTGTTAATCTCGTGACTGGTATTGTTTTGGTTTTGTCCGCTTGAGAAAGCAGGCATGGGATGATGGATACAGAGACACTGCACATGTAACATCCTCGTTAGTTGTCAGTGTGAGAAATAGGAGCAGCTAGTTGAGAGAATTTCTACTGGCGTTTATTTAGAAGTGCGTAGGTCAAGAGGATTGGAGACTCTCTGGGAAGTCTTGGAGTTCCTTTTTGGGCACATTAACGATTTTTCAGTATTTCACTTCTGTTCAAGTATGTATTGGTTTCTCCGGTAGACATGGAATGTTGTTTTGAGCAGGGAGTGCTTGTTTTGTTTTATTAGGTTCCGATCAAGACGTTGCTGATTGATGGGAACTGTAGGGTGGAGGATCGAGGCTTGAAGAACCAGCATGGGCACGTGAGTTGGCTCGTTCATTCAATTGCTATCCATCCCTTACATTTGTGAATATGCTGCAAGCCTGTAGGTAACCTTTAAAATGAGAAACATGATCTGTGTTGTGTGCTGTTCCAAAGAAAGAGAAAGAAAAAGAAAAAGACAGAGCCATCATTACAACTACACGCTTAGGCATATTCTATTGTAGAAAAAATAACTGCAAGAACAAAGATAAATTGGCCTTTGTTCAGTACATTGGTGCTATGAGGATCTTTCATACGCTAGTGCACTCTACTCTATCTTGGGCCACACTCTCTGAAATGTAGAATAGAATGTGAAGGAAATCATCGGTAGCGATAGCCTTAGAATTAAATGAAATCTTCGTTGGTCCTCTTAGAAATTTGCGGTGAAGTGATAGGCTGTTTAATTTTTGTTAGTGGGACATGGGAATATCTCAACATGGATTTGCTTTATAGGAAACAGGACATGAATGGCACACTGAAAAAGTGTCAACACTGGGTGTGAAAATGCATACTTGCGCATGCTATCACCTTAGTGAAAATGCAAACTTTTTCTGGGAAATGGGGACCTGATCTCTAGGCAATCCGTTGGTGCCATCTAAGTGATCAGCTTGGAAGATCTTTGGAGAAAGAGAGAGATTGAGAGGAGGAGGGGCAAGAGGATTCAATGTTAACAAGAAGCGTAAACCCTAGGGTCACCTCCTTTAGTATTTATATTACACAACAACTCCATAAACGACAATATTACCCTTCTAATGGCTTCAGGGCAACTTAACCTACGGTACACCAATACATATTCTAAAAAATTTATTGTTGTGCTTATTTTTTTTATGTATAGAACCGTAACTTGTGTCAATACTACGATTTTAATGCCAGTGTGAATGCACTATGTTTGTATTGATCCAAGCTTTTAAATATTATCGAGGAGTTATAATTGTGCAATATCGCTGTGGGATGTGTTGATAGATTAACTGCCGGTGCAAAAAATTGTTTTGTGGTAGCTCATTGATTGGGGCCTAAAGTGGCAATTGAGCTTTTGTCTGATAGGGTTAATGCTCCTAACAGATAATATTGGTGTATGTTTTTCACTAAGGACATTGCCAAATTGTCCAGTGCTTCTGAACATCTGAATCTTTGAAAATCTTCCACTGGACTTATGTCTTGTCCATACTTCATGAGCGTTCACCTGACCACTACGTAATCACCTGCTGAGTTATGAATACAACTCTGCATCTTCCTCTATGGAAATATCAAGGAAAAGCCACCTTAACACCACATTGACTGACACCTTAAGGCATTTATATAGGTCAATATTCTGAGCTCCAGTTGGAGTCACTAGGGCTCTTCGTGTTTAACGGGGGGAGATTTTGTGTTAACCAGTAATGTTAGGTCCTTTCACTGTGAAGGGATTTGTGATCTTGAGAATAAATCGAACTTTATAGTGTATTGGACTGAGTATGTCACAAGCTCGAGTAAGAACATTTCCAATTGAGTGCCAATTCCTGAGGCTTCTTCCTTTTTATGTGTTTGGTTCATTGTGGAATGCCGGTCAGGGAGACAGTTGTTTACAATGGGACTCGGTAAAGAAGCATCTGCATTTCCTTGTCATTGCTTTTGTGAAGTCTTTCTCGTTGACTATATTGGAAACATGGCATATCAGTTTAAATAAGTTTATTTTTATCAAAGTTACTGGATATTGTAATGTATAGATTGCCAAATGAGCGACATTACAATACTATGGATCACTGTGGTTGTCCTCTTCTTTTAGATGTTGCGCTATGTTTTCTGTTTTTTTGAAAAGAAAATTTAATTAAAAGAAACTGTTCCGCTATATAATGGATATACCAGAACAGATCTATTCATAATTTTGATTTGGGTTCCTTTCATACGGATTCAGTCATTCTGCTGCTAATTATTTTGTTAAAGGTACCTTTAGTATGGCATAAGTGAATATTGTCAATGAATTATCA